GAATAAATATGGGATTAAAAAGTTTCATTTAGCCTATGAGTAAACTTAGAGTATTATTAATAGTTTCTTTTTTAATTTTTATTAGTTTTAGTATGGTTTAACAATATTGATTTGTTTATATTATTATGTTTATTTTTAATTTGTTTATATTTATGTTATAAGGGAGTTAAAGTGCGTTATGGACTTGGTTACTTATATAGTTGAATAATTTTTTTTTAAGAGTCTGATTGTTTACTTGTAACCCTGTACTCAGCTCTGGGAAGTGGGGTGGGGGGGTCTTGGGATGTATATTGTATAAAACTTTTCAATAAAAAGAAAGAAATGAACAGAGCAGAAAGAAAAAATGGCCATTTCTTCCTCCTCAGCAAGTACAATCAACCCCAACAACTTACCGCGATTTCTCAAATGAAAAAAAAACCAATCACTTCTTCATCCCATACCTCAAACACATTATCTACAATCAAATCTTTAAGGTTTTACCACTCCATCTTAACAACAAAAGTGCATTCAGGTTATCAGAAATAACAACATAACATACATTAATAAACATTTTTGAATCTCTTCTTTTCCATTTATCTGTACATTTCATTTTCTATTTAAACAAATCCCCTATCCCATTTTCAAATAAAGTTTTTAAAACATCATACAGTCCTAATCAGCAAAAATCCATTAAACATTACCAAAAATAGCAGCCCATTTATATGAACCTTGAGCAATAAACCAATTTTGTGTTCTTTTTTCTTCCCCCCCCCATACTTTTTAGTTCCCTTCAGTGAAGTCCAAACATCTTTCTCATATTCTTTTTTTTATCAATTCTCTCATTGGCATCTTTATCTAATTTCTTTTGTAATTCCAGCATTGAAAAGTTATCCATGTCACTGTTCACATTCTCACTATCACTTCTTATGAAATCTTTGACAATTCCAACAATTCCTTTTTTTTTTAATCCACTGAAGAGAGGTTATCCACATCATTCTTCTGGTTTAATATTTGTAATTATTAAATGATCTTCCAGTTTTATTTGTAAATCTATTATTTCCATCTTTTTCTCATAGGCTATCATTTTTAAATTCACATTCCAATTAGTTTCAGTTTTATTCAGTGGATTACTCTTTATCAATATCAGTTTCCAATTTCATTTCCCCCCAATTTCCTTCTTGTGCCCTCTGGTGTCCACCCTTCAAGTCATTTTATTAGCTGTTTAAATATAAGCATATAGGCATTTCCCATGAAAAAAGGATTATTTTAATTAATTTCAAAATCTGAAATCAAATCCATCTGAACCCCTAATTCACAGGTGTCAAGCTGCTGGCCCACAGGCCGGATATATCATGGCGAAATCGCGTCCAGCCCATTGCCACCAATTGAAAAAAAGGTGCGATACATTGTGACACGTCACGTGACATTGCAAGTTTGACAGCCTGCCCTAGTCCATTTAAAACTAATGCTGTGATCATCATTTAGTGCAATGTGATGAATGGGCGGACTTTTACAGAAAGGAAAGAGGCTTACAGATACCGGTAGATCTCGTTTAGAGACCACAACTGGAACCTGCAACCTGGATGTGAAGTAGTTGCTAAGTAAAACCGATTCGGCTTATTTATGATCTTACTTTAGCTCTCCTTTGCTTTACAGATATGTAAATGCAAGGATTATTTGTAAAGTTACTTTTTCATCACTGTTGTAATTGTAAACAATTGTTAAAAGAGGCAGTCAGTAAACAAGGATTACCTGTAGTCTGAGGTGGGACAAAAGGATGAGAAAGTACCTTAAACCATAATAATAAAGGCAATATATGCAAAATAGTACCAGCCAGCTTAAAATGCCTGAGAAAAGACATTCACTTAAACCAGGGTTTCTCAACCTTGACATTTTTAAGGCATGTGGACTTCAACTCCCAGAATTCCACAGCCAGCAATGCTGGCTGTGGAATTCTGGGAGTTGAAGTCCACATGCCTTAAAATGGTCAAGGTTGAGAAACACTGACTTAAACAAACCTTGAAGCAAGCACAAAAGGTTAGAAGAATGTCTTACTATTTTAATGTTCTTTCCTGCTTTATTAATACAATTATCTCAATTTGTTCAGATATTTTAACAAATCCCTATCATGCCACTCTTTACCAACTTTTAACATTTCTAGTATTTTATAAATCATGTTCACATTTAAACAAATATTTGTTTCTTGTGCCCAAGAAATAACTGTGTTTCTTAAACTGTCCTTCATAAATGGGGTACACATGGCCTCACTCTGCTGTTTAAACACACAAGGTCCCTTACAGGCCTGTAGACTTATGTCCCTCTGCTTTCATGGCTTATCAATTTGCATAGAGAGCTTTGTAAGATATGAAAAAGATAAAGATGAGTCCCTGTGGGTTTTATTCTGCTAGGAGTAGCCGACTTTAGGGGGTGGTGCTCATCACGGTTTCTAGACCAAAGAAGCAAAGAAGATAATACAAGAAAATCTGAGCAAAAAAAGCACAGTATGAATAGAAGGCACAAGATCTTAGCATCCTTTGCTTTTTGTGGAACAACTAATTTAAAAATCTCTTGTTCTCAATCAAAGATTGTTCTCAATTGTATTTGAATCAAAAAACCTCTTAACTTTCTTGAATGGTTCAGCGAGCCAAGATGTTTTCATAAATCCTCCTCACGAGCAAGTGGGAATTCATTCAACCCATCCCTCAAACTATCTCTTACCCCTTTCCTCAAACTTTGCCCTTCCACAGAAATGCAAATTTGCATATTATAAACTTCTGCCTTTCAATGAATAGATGCCCCTAGCTCTATGCACTCAAGTCCCATACCACCTGCAGTGATTTTTATAACTGGCTTAATACATGCCTTAAAATGATAGTCATACCTAGTGGTTTTGTGTTACTACTCATACAACAGGTTTTCCAGGGCCAAGAAAGAAACAAACAATAAAAACATGTAAGAAGAAACTGAAATGAAACATCCAGTTTTGGTCACCGCGATGTAAAAAAGATGTTGAGACTCTAGAAAGAGTACAAAGAAGAGCAACAAAGATGATTAGGGGACTGGAGGCTAAAGCATATAAGGAACGGCTGCTGGAATTGGGTATGTCTGGTTTAACGAAGAGAAATATGAGGGGGGACATGATAACAGTGTTCCAATATCTCAGGGACTGCCACAAAGAAGAGGGACTCAAGCTATTCTCCAAAGCTCCTGAAGGCAGGACAAGAAGCAATGGGTGGAAACTAATCAAGGAAAGAAGCAACCTAGAACTAAGGAGAAACTTCCTGACAGTGAGAACAATTAACCAGTGGAAAACCTGCCTCCAAAAGCGGTGAATGCTCCAACACTGGAAGTTTTTAAGAAGAGACTGGACAGCCATTTGTCCGAAATGGTATAGGATTACCTGCCTGAGCAGGGGGTTGGACTAGATGACCTCCAAGGTCCCTTCAAACTTTACTATTATTATTATTGTTAGTTTCGCAGACACCATTCAAGTACCTCATTCAGATTACTTCAGAGGTCATTGACCAAATTTCTATCTGGGGCATCTCCTTAAAAGTCCGTAACTTCAAAATATTCTGCGGTTAATTTATGCTGATTTTATGTCATTTGTACTATAGTGATCTATACCAGGGCTTTTCAACCTTTTCACCCATTGTACCACTTTTAGGATATGGCAACATCCGACTACACCAGTCGCCTAGCAAGGTGTCAAAAACTTGAAACCCCCCCAAAAAGGAAAAAAGTGATAAAGTACAGGTACTCCTCGACTTACAACAGTTCGCTTAGTGATTGTTCGAAGTTACAATGGCACTGAAAAAAGTGCCTCCCAAGCCATAGCCGAGCAAGACACCTGCCTGCCTGACTGGCGGCGCTCTTCTTCCTGTCCGACATTTTCATTGTTGTGAGCATTTCTGTTGAGGGTTGGCAGCGGGGGTGGGGTGAGGGTGTTTGGTTTTTATTCCCCCCATCTGCTGGGTGGTTGCAGCAGGTTTTAGTCACTTCACATGACCCTGGGACACTGTGATCATCATAAATATGAATCAGTTGCCAAGCATCTGAATGTAAATCACAAGACCCTGGAGAGGCTGCAACACTTCCAGCTGATCAGTGCTTCTTTTGGGCTCAGAAGCTGCCAGGATCAGTGCTGCTTTCCAGCTGATTGGCGCTTCTTCAGGGCTTAGCAGTAGCACCAGGATCAGTGCGAGCTCCAGCTGGAGCCTGGCGCTGATCCTAACGCTTCTGCTGAGCCCTGACAGCCCTGCAGCTCCAGCCATCTCTCACTCAGGCTTGTGCAGTGCTGCCACTGGTTCAGCTCATTCCCCTCCCCCACTACCACTTTTCTAGGATGGTCGCGTACCACCTGCCAGATGCCAATGTACCACTGGTTGAAAAGCCCTGATCTATACCATTTGTGTAATGATGTCATCATGAAAATGAAAAATTGTTTCTATCGTCAATTTATGTAAAGGACATCATTTATATCACTTATTGAATGACAATAACACATAAATGAAATAAATCAGTATGAGTACTGGAATTTGTCTTATAATGGACATTCCCTCCCTCACAACTGGCCTTTCAAATCAAATGATCATACAGTAGTTATATTAGTACTCATAAACATGTATAACACACCACTGACATACGTCATAACACGTTTAAATTAATGGGTGTTTCCAGTGCAGTGTTTCTCTTCCAGTTTGATGACAACCTCCGATTCCTTCACTAAAACACAGAAAACAAGTAGGGAACATCATGAGTCAATCAGTGCTCATAAATAAAAGGTGGGATATTCAATCTCTCCTCAGTTAGCATCTACCTTGGTTAGTTGCCATTTGCAAATAAAATCGTAATAACTGGTAATAAAAATTCATTTTCTGACCAAATGCACATACATACATGAGCAAATTTCTCATGCCCAAGAACAATGCAAGCTGGAGAGAGAGTAATACTACCGTACTTGCATGAGACCTCATCTGAATGAGAAGGCAGCAATCAGTAATTTTCACAACGTCTCTCTCTTTTACATACACCTATTTAGAAACTATTTCCTTTAATGACAAATTTACTGGAACAATGCTGTTGCTAAACAAGGAGAGGATGTAAAATGCATTATTATATAAATGATGGTGAAAAGTAACCCACCAATGTTTTTACAGACAGGTGCTTTTCTCAACTAGACTTTTTATAGCTCATTGCTGTAGTGGCTGAGTTAGGGGGTAAAAGACAGAGAAAACAATTCTTGCAGACAAGCATCCTGAATACTGAAGACTCCTAATGCATGGAAATTGTCAGTTACCCTGACCACCAGGTGACCAGTTTCATTTTTTGAAGGAATCATCAATCGCAGGTAACCAGATGTTATTCTACCAGGAACTGAACTCCTGGACCTTTCCATGACAATTCGCTACTTTAGGAGCCATCTAGATCCTGGTACTCAATGGTTGCAGGAAGGAGTACATAACAGCTCCCTGCTCTGAGATCTTCTATCTAGACACTTGCATGATATTTGAAGACAATCACTATGATCTTTTATATTAAGCCAGTTCCAATGCCAATCATCTTGTAGAAGTAGGAAGGACGAGAGGTTTATAATTTTAGCGGGTTGCTTTTCTCACTGCTCCTGAGAACTAGAGCTTAGACGATGTGGGAACGGGGCCCAGCCACTTCTCCCCTGCAAAGAAAATCAATACCAAACAAAAGATCAAATTCAGAAAACAAAGAGGACTTAAAAAGAAAAAGGTTAAAGCCACAAATGAGGATAAATGTAATTACATCTCATCCTACAGACTACAAACTTTCACATCTGAAACATTTTGAGCACAGAAGAGTTGCCCTCATCTTACTGAAGTGTTCTAACCCTGTTCAAGGGCCATTTAACAACACTTTTGGCAAAACTGAAATGTATTTTAAGCTTAAAATGTTTAGAACTTGACCTATTTCACACACCTCTAATTATTAGTACAAAACAATATTAAATTTGCTTTATTACCTCACAAGATCCAGTTTGATTCAATATTCCAGGCTGCCCAAATGGATTCGAGACTTGAGTCCAAAGCATGATTTGTACCTACTCTAATCTATTCTAACCCTAGGCCTAAAATACAATATGAAGAAATAAAGAGAGAAGATCCTCTGAGAAAGATTTACTGTGCAGCCCAAAATACTGCTGTGAATTTGAAGACTCCAGAACTTTTATCAAAGGTCTTAAAAACTCTTCCAGAATGAAAGAAATAGAAGAACTTTGTTCCAAAGCAAAAGAAAGCTTTGAGATCTCAACAAAAGATCTGAAATATGGTTGATCTAGAGCAGGGGTATCAAACTGCCAGCCCGCGGGCCGGATACATCACAGCAAAACCGCGCCCACCCTATTGCTGGCAATGGCAAAAAAGTTGTGATACATAGTGACACATCACGTGACGCAAGTTTGACACCCCTGATCTAAGTTAGCACATTGCACACACATTTTACTGTTTATGTTATCCTCTCATAACTTGGTTTTTGGCATGATAGAAAGACATCCACTTGTAAAAATGTAAAACATACACAAAGCCCATTTCTACTGATCAGCGTCTTCCTTTCTGGAGTGCTCTGATATGCAGGTTATATTAAAAGGTTATTTCAGTCCAATTCAGAACACAATTGCAGGGATTCTATCTTATAAAAAAGTCTGTCTGAGTTCAGAAGTCAGCCTAATCCAGTCCACATCTCCAGGTATTACATATATACAGCGCATAACTGCCTGCAAGATAGTGCCACTATTTGAGTGATCTCAGCCCAGAGCAGTGCTTACTGAATGCTTCCGTTTTAATAATAAATGAATGAGGCTTCGATCCATATCAATGGCTACACCAAATCTGTTTGATATTCTCAGCTATAAAAAATTGTTAACAATTTTAACTGCTTTTGGATAGAGGATGTTTCTAGCCACTATGTTCCAGCAGCTTTCTTCTAGTACAGGGGTAGGCAACCTTGGCTCTTTTATGACTCGTGGACTTCAATTCCCAGAATTCCTGAGCCAGAATTCTGGGGGTTGAAGTCCACGAGTCATAAAAGAGCCAAGGTTGCCTACCCCTGTTCTAGTATCTCCAATGTGTTACTTGCTGTCTAGTTGAAACCCTGGGTGATCTTATCCAATTTTAGACTGCTTTCAACAACTCAAAACTTTTCTGTATTCAAACAGTACTTCCAAATTAAAATGCACAGAAGAGCAACTTTAACAACATTTTCGCTAAAAAACCGTTAGATCAATTTAATTATAAAAACATCAATACAGACTGCTTCCCCTGTAAAGGAAGCTGGCAGTTTAGCAAAGAAATTACTCTGTACTCCAAATTTATCTCCTCCAGGTTTTTCCCATTGGAGTTTCATTCAGACTCCTTTTTCATTCTTACTTTTGCTATCTGAGGCAATTCCCAAAAGTGAAAAACAACTTGGATCAAAGCATCAATAGTAAGGAAAAAACTGAATTATTTCTTTCTCTTTCATGAGCTTTAGAACAAAAGTAGAATTATAAAATAATAAACACCCCTATTTGCATAATGTTTAAATTATAGCAATTTTTGGCATTTCTTTAGTAAATTCTTGGCCAGAAATAATATTTCTCTCTTCTTTCTCTCTATTATTCTGTAAACACAATACTTACACAGGCAGTCCTTGACTTATGACCACAATGCAACCCAAAATTTCTATTGCTAAGCAAGACAGTTGTTAAGTGAATTTTGCCCCATTTTATGACCATTCTTGCCACAGTTGTTAAATGAATTGGCTTTTTATGACTTTGCTTCTCAGAAGGTCACAAAAGGTGATCAAATGATCATGGGACACTGGAAACATCATAAATATGAGTCAGATGCTAAGCTTCTGAATTTTGATCACATGACCAAGAGGATGCTGCAAGGGTTGTGTTGAAAAATGGTCATAAGTCATTTTTTTCAATGCTGTTGTAACTTTGAATGGTCATTAAATGAACTATTGTAAGTTGAGGACTACCTGTATATGCCTTCTAAAGTCCTCAGAAATAGAGTAGGATAATACTGAGCTGTTTTTTTAAAAAATAGTATTTTATTAGTTTTCTACATTTACAATGAATGAATCTAATGACTAAAATGTTACCCGTATATGCCTTCTAAGGTCCTCAGAAACAGAGTAGAGTAATAGCAAGCTGTTTTAAATATCAGGGAACTCAGCTGGTCAACTTGAGTGTCTTGAGAAAGCTAAACAGATTTTGGGCAACACAGGAACATTAAAAAAAAACAAAACTAAAAGGCAATGGCAAACAACTTTCATATTATTAAGTATTAATAGCAGCAAAAATGTTTCCCAAAACCTAGAACATTCAAGGTTTTCCTCTTTTTTCATTTTTTATGGAAGGTACAAGTAAACAAAATCCTCTTTTGTAATGTGTTGGTCCATTATGGAACCTAAAGAAAACTCAATAATTCTCAACAAAAATATTAATAACACTCACCCAAAACATTTCCCAGTAGTTCTACACGATCCGAACCAAAGAAAAGCTGGGGTTGTCCATCAGTCTGGATAACAAAACATGGCACTCCAAATGCCTATTGGGAAAAGCCAACACAAGATATAAGTAGAGAATTCTGCTTCATCTACTGTAAGTAATTCATGGTAACAGATGCACACCAGAAGAGTTCAAATGTGTCAATTAGCTTCTGTATTAGGTGGTTACACATTTAATCTGCATTTCCCAAGGACAGTTTTTAAAGTTTTTTTTTAAAAAAATTGCACATTATTGATTCCACCCATCCACCGAAGAACTGGGAAATGAGTCCAAATCTCCTGTGCCTGCACACCAATACTATTTTGTAGGGAAATATGTTCAAATACCATCAAAATTCACCTGCTCACCTGGATGAGGAGAAAACAGATGAAAAACCGTAAAAGGAAAGATAGATCAACTGTCATGCTTTGCAAAATCTCCCAACTTTAGGAAGTTTTTGCCTTTTGCCAATTTTTTGACTGTTCTGTGAATCACTGTTTTTCACAATTCTGAATACCATTTGCCAACTCTCTGTACCTCTGTAGGTACTGGCGCATTTTAGCTTAAACTATAATGCTTAAGTGAGATTCAGAAGCACCTGTTGTGATTGCTCCTAGGCAAACCCTACTTATGTCCCATTGGCCCAAATATGGATTATGCTCACTGCTTTTCACTGCAGTAATGTTGTACACAAGTATATATCAGTCCTCATAAAACAGAAGTTATGCATTATTTCACATCAATTCAAATGTCATCATCTACTTTGTGAAATAACTCAACGGGAAGTAACAGGCAGTCACCTTGATACTGCTATTGTTATATTATTATGAAGTTGCTCATCTGCCCTGCTTTTCATGAATCTGGAAGCAATATTTCAATGCTACCTCTGCACAATAGCTACAAAAATGCAGAAAAACAAGCCAGAAGGCTCTCGGGATACAAGTCTTCTAAAGTGATTTCATTATCCAACAAAGTTGCTCTTCAGAGCATAAGAATTCAGCTTCCCAAGATCCGCATCTTTTTAAAACAGACTGCCTGGGAGATTTGTTGTTGTTCAGTTGTTGTGTCTGATTCTTTGCGACCCCATGGACACCTGTCAGGTCCCCCCGTCCTCCACTGCCTCCCAGAGTTTGCCCAAATTCATGTTCATTGAGTCAACACTATCTAACCATCTCATCCTCATCCTTTTGCCTTCAATCTTTCACAACATCAGGGTCTTTTCCAATGAGTCCTCTCTTCTCATTAGGTGGCCAAAGTATTTGAGCTTCAGTTTCAGATTGGAAAGTATATTTCATAAAATGTTAGTCCTTACCCCAAACTTCAGAGCCTCATCTGTTGTCTCTTTCAGGCGATTCTTCACCTCAGGTGAAGTGCTCATTTTCAGAAGCTCCTGGCTTTTGCCTGAGGGCAAACCTGCTTTCTCAGCAGCCTGACCAAAAAAAAGACAAATATCCTAAAGATGTAGCCCAGGTTGACTGGATTAAAACTTCAGCTTTCCTCAGGAATACCTAAGTACTAAAACTTATTAATTGAACTGGAAAGCAAATGGCCCTAGCAAAGAGTGAACATACTACACCCAACTGGAATTGTTCAACACCTTCTTTTCGGTTTCTTGGTAATCACGTAATTTCTATCCTTAATTACAATAGTTAAAACTTCTATAAACAGGGCATTCCTTGTTTTCAATGTTCTCTTTCTTTATTCCAACAATAACATGACAATCTATAGTAGTCCACAATCACAAGGAGTCTGATAGCACCTTTTCTGAGCAACAAATGTTATGAAAAAGCCTAAGTTTTTGTCAGCTACAATTCATGATGACTGGAATGCATATGAAAGCTGAGGCCCTTTCTTAAAAATGGTTAGTCGTAAAAGTACTACCAGATTCCGGATTTTATTTTTTATTTTTCTTTGTAACTGTTGTTCAAAGATTAGTCCATTTAGCTAGAATTTTCCTCTTCTCTCTGGGGGTCTCCAGAGTGTTAGGCTGAGATTTTTCTGCCTAAAGATTATAGGAATGAACCTGGAACACTCAACATGTAGAGTATTTATTGACCTTGAGATCATCCCCCATATAAATTAAATAATAATAATAATAATAATAATAATAATAATAATAATAATAATAATAATACCATCAAACATCCACATCTGCCTATCCCAGGTCCTGGGTAAGGACTTGATAGGTAGACAAAATGCCAAATCCAGTCTGAACATCTGGCTGACTGGCCATAATAATAATAATAATAATAATAATAATAATAATAATAATAATAATAAAGTTGGAAGGGACCTTGGAGGTCATCTAGTCCAACCCCCTGCTCAGGCAGGAAACCCTAAACCATTTCGGACAAATGGCTGTCCAGTTTCTTCTTAAAAACTTCCAGTGTTGGTGCATTCACTGCTTCTGGAGGCAGGTTGTTCCACTGGTTAATTGTTCTAACTGTCAGGAACAATTACTTTAGAAAAATAAGCCATAGATCACATGGAATTCATATTAGTCAGTCTTAGACCTAGGAAAACTGCATTTCCATGCACCAGACCTAGTGATAACGCTATTGACAAACTTATTTTCTCCCTATTTGCCAATGTTAAAAGAATAAAACATTTTTACACCCTTCAAAGAATTAATAACTGAGGGAGACAATGTAGCCACACAAGGTTGCTCATGCATGGATAGTCTTCACTGACAGCAATACTGCTCCCAAAGGAAATTCTAAAGTACAAGAGTTCCATACACAGGAGAGCAGAGTAGGAAGGGAAGGCATGTAAACACTCCCCAATTTAAATTTCTTTCAAAATTATCCAGCCAGCAGCACAGACCAGCCGTTTTGCATCTGAACCACCTGCAGAAAAAGAACAAGAGAAGAAGAGCAGGCACTTACTGCTAATATACTTTCTGGCTGAACTATGTCTTCATCCTGGAAAAACAAAAAATATGGCAACTGATTATTAAACCTTATGGATAAGATGGGTCATGAAAATAATGAGATAAGAAAATAAAACTAAACGAAACTCATGATGGACAAAAATGGCCTTTGTTAGCCTGATAATTAGATTAAAATAGTCCAGATTCTCTAATTTAACCTACCCAAAACAGAAGGGAGAGAATGAAGAGAAAAATTAGATATAGCTGAAATTTCAGACTGCCCTATTCATTTAAATGGGTCTTAAAGAATAAATTTCTGGAGGTCCCCGTATAGTTCTGTAGTTGGCTTAGTTGACTAACATGAAGACAGGTCTCATTTAGATGATTTCAACTTTCTTGCCTAAGTATCCAAAAGAGATCATCAGAAAGGACAGAGAAATGCCAAGAGAGATACATATGTGTGCAAGATCTCAATATTTACCCTGGACCAAATGCGCATCCAGAGTTCTCTAGAAACAGACTCCAGAAACTGAGGTTCTGCTATATCTACAGCAGTGATGAAACGCATGGCAGGCAGACTTCCTATAGATAGCAAAAACAGATACAAAAGTGCACTAGAGAAGCTGTATAAATGCTGATAATAATAATAATAATAATAATCATCATCATCATCATCATCCCCCAGTGAGGCACTACCTTGACGTGGTTGTGGGGCTTGTGTACTCTGAGGAAGATGAGAGCTATGCCAGAGGTTCAACCATACTGGACAGGTCTCATCAGAGGAGTCAGACAAAGAGTGTCTCTCCCATACAAAATATGGTGAGACGTAAATTTCAGAATGCCATACCGGCTCGGATGTCGCCCGGGTTAACAAGGTCTGCGCTAGATATTGGAGTTCCTGGATATCTGGTGAAAAATGGGTTACAGGACTCAGGACTGTTGGCTGAGCAACCAGGGCCAGCAGCTGCAGAACTACTGGAAGAAAAGGTGTTTACCCGTCGCAGATACACAGTGATGGAAAATAAAGAAATAATGATCTGTTACTACAGATCAAGTCCAACAAGACGAGGATATCTAAAACGAATGCACCAGTTCTGGAAAGAACAACATCCAGAATCAGAAATAACAGAACAGAGACTAGCAGATCAACGCCGATTTATAACACGAAATAAAGTATTCACAGAAACAGAATTGGACAAACTGCAAAGGTTTACCCAGGGCAAAGAAATCAAAGCCTTACCAGAAGTAATTCAGAATGTAGAGGCAAACCAGGGGGAGTTGGCAGTGAAGGAATCCAGCAGAGATATACAACTGTTCTCATTTGGAAACCAGGCACCTCTTCCTCAGGAAGAACAAAACCCTCTAACTAAAGAAATAAAAGAATTGAAACAAAGAATAACTGAGCATCTAGAACAGCACAAAAACAACAGAATAAGGCTGCCTGCATTGAAGCTTGTTCCAAAGAAACAGCTAGCACAAGCATTAAAAGATGCAAATACTGCAATAGCAAGTATAAGCACCAATTCACTGCAAGAAACAAACCAACTAATGTACAGCACAGCTGCAGTTATAACTGAATACCTGGGATGCAAAATCAACAAAGAAGAAAAACAAACAAACAGTGCATCACAGAAATGGAAGGTTAGACTAGAAAATAAGATCAGCAAGTTAAGATCACATGCAAGCAAGCTAGAACAGATGAAAGAAAAGAAGCTGAAGAACAAGAAGACCAAAGAATACCTAATCAAGAAATACCACTTAGAAACAAGGAAGATCAAGGAAGCACTGGAAATAATAAAGCAACAAATAACAGCTATAGCCAGGAAAATCAGTAGATATGAAGCTCGAATTGCAAACTATAGGCAGAACCTCCAATTTCAATCCAATCAGAAACGTTTCTACCAATCCATCAATGGAGAAACTGCAAGGAATCAGTCAGTACCTGACAAGGAAGAAACAGTGCAGTTCTGGAAGCAGATATGGGATAACCCAAAGAAATACAACAAGGATGCGGCTTGGTTAAAAGAGGTGGATGCAAATAAAACAGAAGTTGAAATGAAAGAACTAGTAATAACAACAAAAATGGTAGAAAAAAGAGCAAAGAAAATCAAAAATTGGTCAGCACCAGGTGAAGATGAACTGCATGGGTTTTGGTTGAAACATCTAACTGTTATACACCCACTCATTGCCAAGCAGTTCAACAATATACTACAAGGAGGAGAAATTGAAAAGTGGCTAACAACTGGGAAAACCTACCTAATAATGAAAAATCCAGCAAAAGGGGCAACACCAGGTAACTACAGGCCAATTACCTGCTTACCAACAACTTTCAAATTACTAACTGGTGTGGTAGCTGATGCAGTACAACAGCATCTAGTTGAAAACAATCTCTTTCCACCTGAGCAAAAAGGAAACCGCCCCAATAGCAGAGGAACAAAAGATCAACTCCTAACTAGACTCAAGCAGAACTAAAAGCAATGGATAGGCAGACCAGAAAAATAATGACAATGAATCATGCCCTTCATCCACGCAGTGACATTGATAGACTTTATCTACCAAGGCAAATAGGTGGGCGTGGAATGCTACAAGTACATCAGATGGTTGAAGAAGAAAAAATGGCTTTGGAAGAATATCTGAAGAACAATGATGAAGATGCACTGAAATTAGTATATCAGGAAGGTTTACTAACTACTGGAGAGACCAAACTGTGCCTACAAGAAAGACCAAATGAAGAACAGAATAGAGGCATGGGAAGACAAAGCACTACATGGCCAATACATGAAAAAAATAGCTGGGAAAGCAGATAATAATAAAACCTGGCAATGGCTAAGAGCAGGAAAATTGAAGAAAGAGACCGAGGGACTAATTCTGGCTGCACAAGACCAAGCCTTAAGGACAAATGCATACAAAGTCAAAATTGAGAAGACAGCAACAGACAGTAAGTGCCGCCTATGCAAAGAAGCTGAAGAAACAGTGGACCACTTGGTAAGCTGTTGCAAGAAGATTGCACAGACTGATTACAAGCAGCGGCATGACAAAGTAGCAACAATGGTGCATTGGAAGATCTGCAAAAAATATCATTTGACTGTAAGCAAAAACTGGTGGGATCATAAAATAGAGAAAGTCATAGAAAATGATAAAATTAAACTGCTCTGGGACTTCAGAATTCAAACAGACAAGCACCTGCAACATAACACCCCAGACTTAACAATTGTCGATAAGAAAGACAAAAAAGTCTGGATAGTGGACGTGGCAGTGCCTGGAGATAGCAGAATAGAAGAGAAAGAACTGGAGAAGATAACAAAATACAAAGACCTACAAATAGAAATAGAAAGACTGTGGCAAAAGCAAGCAAGGGTAGTACCAATAGTCATAGGCTCCTTGGGTGCAATCCCAAAACAACTGGAGCACCACTTGAACACCATTGGCATTGACAAATTCGCTATTAGTCAATTGCAAAAGGCGGCCTTATTAGGAACTGCTTCCATCCTGCGACGATATCTGTAATACCATCAAACATCCACATCTGCCTATCCCAGGTCCTGGGTAAGGACTCGATAGGTAGACAAAATGCCAAATCCAGTCTGAACATCTGGCTGACTGTGCGATGATCATAATAATAATAATAATAAATAATAATAATAATAGAAGAAGAAGAAGAAGAAGAAGAAGAAGAAGAAGAAGAAGAAGAAGAAGAAAGAAGAAGAAGAAGAAGAAGAAGAAGAAAGAAGAAGAAGAAGAAGAAGAAGAAGTTGGAAGGGACCTTGGAGGTCATCAAGTCTAACCCTCTGCTCAGGCAGGAAACCCTACATCATTTCGGACAAATGGCTGTCCAGTCTCTTCTTAAAAACTTCCAGTGTTGGAGCATTCACCGCTTCTGGAGGCAGGTTGTTCCAGTGGTTAATTGTTCTAACTGTCAGGAAGTTTCTCCTTAGTTCTAGGTTGCTTCTCTCCTTGATGAGTTTCCATCAGTTGCTTCTTGTCAGGCGCTTTGGAGAATAGCTTGACTCCCTCTTCTTTGTGGCAGCCCCTGAGATATTGGAACACTGCTATCATGTCCCCCCTTGTCCTTCTCTTCGTTAAATTAGACATACCCAATTCCAGCAACTGTTCTTTATATGTTTTAGCCTCCAGTCCCTTAATCATCCGTGTGGCTCTTCTCTGTACTCTTTCTAGAGTGTCAAGATCTTTTTTACTTCGTGGTGACCAAAACTGGATGCAGTATTCCAAGTGTGGCCTTACCAAGGCATTGTAAAGTGTATTAATACTTCACTGGATCTTGATTCTATCCATCTGTTAATGCAGCCCAGCACTGTGTTGGCTTTTTTGGCAGCTGCAGCACACTGCAACAAACCCACCCTTACTTTTAAAAGGACATTTTTTCATTTCCTGATGTCTTCCACATGGGCAGAAACCATCATTTCCCAAATGCCTAACTGGCACCAATTTGGAGAAAACAATCTCTTTCATTACCTTTCACTATCACAGCCTTTACGAAATCCTTTGGTAAATTTAATGGCACTTGGCAATACTTTGCCATTTGTTTGACATCCTTTTGCAAATACTCTCCTTTCTTGGGAAGCATTGCTGGAGGCTGGTTCCCTGTTGCAAAAGACAGCATGTCACAAAATATAATTTTAATAGTAAACCTTTTCTTTTGGGTTTGGGTTTATTTCCTATCCAACAAGGTATGGAAAGCTACTATTCTAGGTTTGGGTGGGATTATGGAAACCTGAATACTGAAACTTAATTTTAATGGAGAGAAGAAGTTACCGGTATGTTTTTTTTAACTTTTAAGAAATTCAACCAAAATTAGTTATTACAGAATAGCCAAGTCCACAGTTAACTATGAACAAATAATACTAGACAGCGGCAATTCCCAACAGGATTGAGCATCCTGTTCTTAACCCAGAAAAGCTTTTAAAAAGGAAAATAATACATCTGCACTCATTTCTAATTATTAATTTCTAATTACTAAATGATCGATTTAAGGATCTCATGGATTCCAGAGATCTTCAAAAATGACAAGTTTAATTTGACACCTGGTGAGTTCTACTTTTTTTCTTTGATATAAGGATTTTTTAATACAGACTTTTAACAGTATAAAACTGTGGTGTCAAACTGCCGGCCAGTGGGCCAGATGCATAAGGCCAAAACTGCACCCATTGCCGGACAATGGAAAAAACAGTTGCAATACATTGCAACACGTTATGTGACGTTGCAAGTTTGGCAACCCTGATATAAAACAATATATTAACAAAAAGTGAAAAGGAAGGAAGAAAGGAATAAATTTGGAACATTTACAATTTGGAAAAAATATGTATTACATGCATTAGTGAGAACAGAATTAAATCCTTATTAGGGACTGAGATTCTTTGAATGTTGCAAATAAACACTAGAGGGGACTAAAGGAGCAGGCATAAAGGGAAAAAAGGGAAAGTGCATTTATCAATGTTTAAACTAAGGTTTAAAATGGCCAATCCAGTATATGTTTTGAGTCACTTCAAAAATAGACCACGATATTAATATTTTAGAAAGCATGAGGGTTCCAAAGATGTTAAGGGAAATTTTAAAAAGCAACTTATACCCAACACATACACAAAATAACAGAGATGGAAGGGATTTTGGAGGTCTTCTACTCCAACCTCTGCACAAGCAAGAGACCCTGGACCATTTCAGACAATGGCTGTCCAGTCTCTTCTTGAAAGCCTCCAGTGATGGGGCACACGCAACGTCTGAAGGCAAACTGTTCCACTGATTGGTTGTTCTCAATGTTAGGAAATTTCTCCTTAATTCTAGATTGCTTCTCTCCTTGATTAGTTTCCATCTACCATCCATTGGTTCTTGTCCTGCCTTTAGGTGCTTTGGAGAATAGTTTGACTTCCTCTTCTTTGTGGAAGCCCCTCAAATATTGGAATATTGCTACCATGTCACCCCTAGTCCTTCTCATTAAACTAGACATACCCAATTCCTGCAACCATTTTTCATATGTTTTAGCCTGTAGTCCCCTAAAATCATCATTTTAGACAGCTTTCTCTAGACTGGCCATACTCAATATATATATTATATATAATAGAGGTAGTTCAGATTGCCTTTGAAGAAAGACATGAGAAAAACAAACATGCAATGCTTCACCAATCTCTTTGATCTAGAGCAGTGGTTCTCAACCTTCCTAATCCTATTAAATACAGTTTAATACAGTTCCTCATGCTGTGATGACCCCCAACCCTAAGGGCCCTCCAAGCACGCACCGATACCGCCCACTCACCCGCCGCGCCCAGGGCTCAGCACGCCTCGCCTGTCCTCGCCTCACTTCCGAAGGTCGCTGGCCTGCCCGGCTCCAGCTGGCCAGGGAGGGGTGGCAGGAAGGCGGCTCCACCGGCTCCGCCCAGCCTGGTTGGAAAAGCGCCCAGGCGGGGAGAGGGAGAGAGAGAAAGAGCCAAGAGGGCTTCAGCACTGGCAGAGCTTAGTTCAGCCTCCTCCACAGAAAGGGCCGCGAAGCAGTGCAGCCTCCCTTAGGAGATGCTCGACGGAAACGAATCCAGCACTGCAACGGCCCCCAGCTTGAAGCCATGCGGAGACGGATAGAGGAGTGGTGTCTTGGTTCCTAAGACCATCGAAAATATGTGTTTTCTTATGGTCTTAGGCAACTCCTGTGAAAGGGTTGTTCGACCCCCAAAGGGTTGCGACCCACAGATTGAGAACCACTGATCTAGAGTTTTGTAATTCCACTTGTGTAACTAGTTGCTACAGGAGTGTGTCTAATCTTCATCTAAGCTCAGTTAAACAATTAAGTGCTTACCAGTGGCGTTCATTATCGCCGAAAGGAAAACTGGCCGCAAATGCAGATCTAGATTCCAGATGGAACGATACCTGCAAATAATCTACAGAGATGACAGGGGTTATTATTACAGTGATCCTCGACTTATGATCACAGTTGAGCCCCAAATTTCCATTGCTAAGTGAGAGATTCAAGTGAGTTTTGCCACATTCTATGACCTTTCTTGCCACGGTCGTTAAATGAATCAGTGCAGTTGTTATGTTAGCAACAAGGTTATTAAGTGAATCTGGATTTCCCATTTATTTTTTCTTGTCAGAAGGTCACAAAAAGTGATCCCATGACAGTAGGACACTTCACCCATCATAAATATGAGCCAATTGCCAAGTGGCTGAATTTTGATCATGTGACCATGGGGATGCAACAATGGTCATAGGTGAGAAAAACTGTCATAAGTCACTATTTTTAGTGCTATTATCATTTCAAACAATCACTAAACAAATGTTGTAAGTCAAGGACTACCTGTATTAAGAACAAGAAATCAGAAAATGTAAAGCAACAAAAGAATTTGTGTACTCCTGCAATAGGAAAACAGGGCTATCACAAATATATTTTATTTATATTCCATTTTTCATTCAGGAGCATACACAGCATTCTTTCCTCATATTTTACCTCATAATAGTTTTGTGATGAAGATTGATCTGAGAGGAAAGGACTAGTCCAAAGTCACTCCTAGAATTTCCATAGCTTGGGTGGACTAGATGCTGGGCTTCCCTGCCCCAGTCCAATGCTTTTAACCACTACACCACAATGGCTCCACATGCAGCTATTTAAAGGCAATACTCAAGAGGCAAACACGTTTTATCATTTGGCATGCACCTTCGTAGCCTACACTATCGTAGAAGGTCATAATACATTCATTGAAAATCAGGTGTACATTTATTAGGACATAAATCCAGTAAAAGTAAAGTATCACAGAACTAAATACAAACTGTGGCTATTTTTTTTTTTTAAATCCCATCTTTATTATTTAAGTAGCTGGGGTGGTGGTGTCTGTCATAATTTTTAATTGTCACTAAGCAACCGGTCTTAAATCGAGGATTGTCTTTAACTGTAATTTGAAATGGGAATAAAGTACTTTGAAGCTTTAAGTAATACTATGCAGCATAGCCCACTGACATCAAATCACCCAAAATATTAACTATTCTTGACAGGAAAAAAAACAGAATTAAAAAATCTATATTAGCAAAATAGAGAAACAATAACACCACAATAAACATGGCTTTCTTTACCTAATAAACAAAATTACCCATTTGGTTTAGTTGCAAACCAGCTCTTCCACAGCAGGAATTACAATTGTACTGAAAAATGCAAGCAGTCATATTAAACTCATTTTAATATATTCCCCAGGTGAAATGGATAAAGTTAGCAAGTAATACATTAGATTTATGGATACCCTGGTAATGGAAGCCATATTGTGTAATCATATACAAGATTGGAACACTGTACACAGCACACCTTTGGCCACCTAATGAGAAGGAAGGATTCACGGGAGAAGAGTCTAATGCTGGGAAAGATTGAGGGCAATAGAAGAAAGGGACGACAGAGAATGAGATGGCTGGATGGAGTCACTGAAGCAGTAGGTGTGAATTTTAATGGACTCCAGAAGATGGTAGAGGACAGGAAGACCTGGAGGAACATTGTCCATGGGGTTGCGATGGGTTGGACACGACTTCGCAATTAACAACAACACACAGCACAGTATTCTTGACTTCTATGACCTATGACAGTGTTTCCCAAAGTGTGGTACGCGTACCCCCAGGGGTACTGCACCGTGCTTAGAACAAAGAAAGAAATAGGCGCGTATCGCAGTTTTTACACGGGAACTGGGGTCATCATACATCGTATCGCAACTCATTATGACGGGAACTTCTGCGCATCCTTCGCGCAGCTCTGGTTCGGCCATTTTTAAACTGCGGGAACATTAACAGTTAACGTTGAGCCTCGGAGCTGTTTAAAAGCCGGAGAATTGCAGTGTTATCAACGGTTAGACAGTCTTGTGAGGCGTGACACGGCGTGAATATACTGCACTTCGTTATAGAGACAACTTACTTCTTTAATAGTTAGTTCTGGGCGCCTGTTATCGTGCTTTAGTAAGTTCCACTGATTTTGATTATTTTTATAAAATACAATTTTTATCCCTAACAGAGATTATGGATCACTGGTTGAAATCTGGAACTACTAAACCGAAAGAAAGTAATGATTGTAATAGCAATCAACGAACAGGAAATAATGAAATTAACGACGAATCGATTTCAATTCTGAAAGAACCTGTTAAGAAAAAAGCAAGGAAAACTCGCAAGTACGACAAAGAATATCTTAAATTTGGATTCTCATGGACTGGAGATGAAAATGAGCCTATTCCACTTTGTGTCATTTGTTTTGAAAATCTAACAAATGAAAGCATGAAACCATCCAACTTAAAGCGCCATTTTGAGACAAATCATAATCAGTACAAAGATAAACCCATAGATTTTTTTGAAAATAAACTTAAGGGTTTAAATCAGTCTCGAAAAGTAATGCAGGGTTTGACAGGAGGTGACAATCAAAAAATACTAGAAGCTTCGTATTGCGTGTCACTTTTAATTGCCAAATGTAGTGCAGCGGAAACCATTGGCGAAATTTTAATCAAGCCTGCAGCCAAGATAATGGCAGAAGTAATGATAGGAGATAGAGTGAAACAAACTTTTGACCGCGTTCCTCTCTCAAATAATACAGTTCATCGACGAATCATTGATATGTCTAATAATGTAAAACAGATGTTATTATCTGATATTTCTCAAAGTCGTTATTATGCATTGCAAGTCGATGAGTCCACCGACATTGCGAATTTTGCAAATCTTATGGCGTTTGTTAGATACGAAAAAAATCAAGAAATTCATGACGACTTTTTATTTTGCCAGCCTTTATTAGGTCACACAACAGGAGAAGATATCTTTAATGTTATGAATACATTTATGCAAGAGAACAAAATTGACTGGAATAGATGTGTTGGAATAAGCACAGATGGAGCAAAAAGTATGGTCGGAATTAATAAAGGACTCGTTGCAAGAATTCAAAATGTTGCTCCAAATGTCATATCCACACATTGTTGCATACACAGAGAGGCTTTGGCAACACGTAAGATGCCCGCTGATCTACAGAAAGTTCTGGATGAAAGCGTGAAAATCATTAACTACATTAAAAGCCGCCCTTTGAATGCACGACTTTTTGCGCAAATATGTGAAGAAATGGGAAGTAGTCATACCCAGCTGCTTTTTCATACTGATGTTCGTTGGCTATCTCGGGGAAAAATTCTAAACCGATTGTTCGAACTTAGACATGAACTTCAATGCTTTCTTAATGATAGATTTGAGTTGAGAAATTGTTTACATGACTGGAAATGGCTTTGTAAACTAGCATACTTAGCAGATATATTCTCTTTTTTAAATTGCCTCAACTTATCGTTACAAGGCAAAGAAATTTCATTGTTTCACGTTCAAGATAAAGTGAACGCTACCATCGCAAAACTAAATTTATGGCAAAAGAGAGTTGGTAATGGAGAAGTAGACTCATTTCCCTCTCTTCATGAGTTTATAACAAGTTCGGTTACTAAAATTGAGGCTGATACTTTGAAATGCATAATACAGCATTTGGAGAGTTTGCAAGTTGGCTTGAAAAACTATTTCCCTGATTTAAACGAAAATATTGAATGGATAAGATATCCATTCAACATTAACACAACATCCATGCCAGAAGGTTTGTCGCATGCGGAAGAAGAGCAATTGTTGGAGTTAGCTTCGGACGGATTCTTGAGAAATAAACATAAGGAGTGTACTTTAACATCATTCTGGTTACAAATGGAACATGTGTATCTGGTTTTAACAGAAAAAGTCCTGAAATACATCTTGCCTTTTCCAACTTCATATTTATGCGAAGTTGCTTTTTCTGCCTTTGTAGACATTAAGTCGAAAAAAAGGAACAGACTATTGGATATGGAACCACATCTCAGATTAAAATTAACAACCAGGGAACCAAATTATGATGATCTGTCATCTCAACATAAACAATTTCATCCTTCTCATTGAATCAAATAAATGTTCTTTATAATATAACTTTCGTTTATTTTGTGTATGTACAAAAAAAAGAAAAAATAAATATATTTTGATTTTTATTAAAACATATGTTTTTTATGAGGGGTACTCAGCATTACGAAAATTATAGAAGGGGTACACATATGTCAAAAGTTTGGGAAACACTGACCTATGAAATAGATCAATCTGCTTTTTAATATTCATATTGACATCATATCTCACCAAATTTCACATTAAGGTACTGCACTTCAAGTATCCCCATATAGGGACTGCAGAAATAGGGATCACCACTAGATGGCAGCAAAACGATGCAGAAACACCTAAACATTTAGACTTGGATTCTTGCAAACCAAATATACTGGCCTAGTGTATATAATGAATCCATATGTGTGATATGTGCAAGTGAACTGGATGATCCACTTCCTACTCGACAAGAGTATTTTGAAATATTCATATATATATCAGGATTTGCTTTCATCCAACATACCCCATATTCACAAATAGTCCCAAAGTCCAGTAATTCAAACTAGAGTCAGATTTATGTGCCGTATTAATTGGTACACAGCTTAGTTTAATATTGCACTTGATTCCCAACATACCCACAGTCCATATACATAGTGCAAACCTGATAAATGTTGCAATGTTTGCAGCAGCCACAGAAAAGTGGGTCAAAGTTGAAACCAAGAAAGTCCTAGAAGCTTTCTGATAATTGCTGACAACTCTTCTGAAAAAAAAAACGTTTCCCTCTACTCCTTTCCCTTTTTTCCTAGCCTGGAGTATTTCCAGATGAGAATTTTACAGCATACTGAACATTATCCAGAAGTTGCAAACTTTTGTCAAGGGCAACAGAGCTTGGGGGAAGTCTCTTGGAGGACAGCCCAGCTGACAGGAGGGAGGAGTACTGACAGATACAGGTAATCCTCAACTTATAACAGTTCATTTAGTGACTGTTCAAAGTTACAACAGCACTGAAAAAAATGACTTATGACCATTTTTCAGTTATAACCTTTGTAGCATCCCCATGATCATGTGATCAAAATTGAGATGCTTGGCAACTTATAACCACTACTGTGTCTCAAGGTCATGTGATCAATTTTTGCCACCTTTTGACAAGCAAAGTCAATGGGGAAGCCAGATTCACTTACCAATTGTGGCAAGAACGGTCGTAAAATGGGGTAAAACTCACTTAACAAATGTCTCACTTAATAGAAATTGTGGGCTCAATTGTGGTTGTAAGTCGAGAACTACCTGTACAGATGCAATAAGGCCCCATTTGCAAAATGCCATCACCCAGCGCCTATGGAGATTCTCAATCATCCAGGTCATGGTTGTCCCAAAAGTGCTTTTTTTGGGAGAGTAAAGAACACCTTTGGGCCATCATCCAATGGTGCTGCCCTGCATCTCCACATTAGCAAACAGCAGGATACTGGTTAAACAAGAAAGTTCGGGTCCTCTGAAGCTGCAATACAGGAATCAAAGCGCGTTTCTTTTTTAGTGCAGATTTACTTTTCTAAATCTATACTGCGCTTAGTTATAAGCGCATAGTTTTTTAAAAACCCTGCAAAATGTTACTGCTCGCCTACTCCAAATCGCAGCTAACACGGCAAGAAATCGGACTGAAGCCCTAGGGCTTCCGAGCAACATACATACTGCTTGATTTGAAAGACACAAGGCAAGAGGGAATGGCTTGCTTTAATAAAGCTTTTTGCAGCGCGCTTACCTCAAAGGCAAGCCAGGAATAGGGGGACACGACATCGTAGAAACACTCCACCTTCTTCTTGCTGACCCCGGAACTCTGGCGCGTAGGAGCCATGCTCCGTGGGAAAGGCATGTCCGGGAGAGAGAGCCCGTCTGTCAACAGGACCCCACAACCCCAAAGAAGCGCTTTACGTCTGTCACGTGCAGCTTTCAGAGCCCAACCCCCTCCAGAGTTCACTCCGGCGATGCCTTTCGGGACGCGGAGGAAGGCGGGGAAACGACACGTGGGCGGCGGGAGCAGCAGCAGCAGCAGCAAGAGCTATAACGACAACTGGCTTTGTTCAGAGGAAGTCGTCAGTCCCTTCACATTCACAAGAGCCTGAGTGCAACAAAGGAAAAGTACCTGCACACACACGCGCCACCGTCGGATGTCCGCGCTAATCCAATCTATTAGATTTGAGAAATACGGATGCGTAATGTATCTTCTGGATTGTACTAGATTGAGGATAGTTTATTTCCTGGTCATCAGGTATCCAGGATTGTTAGTATTCCACAATCACAATGAAATGTCATTAAGAGATGCGTTCTATTTGTTTCCTGTTGTTTCACTTTAACAATAGAAAATGAAGAACTCGTCTTTTATGAGCAATTTCTAAAAACATCATATAACACCAAGATCCCTTACGTATTTTCTGTAATGTTTGCACCTCTGTTTCCAGGCACGGAATGGCAGTACTTGTTGCAAGCTCTATTGCAGTTAGCATATCTGAAAATACAGCAAAGTAAAATAATCTGTGAGAGTTTAACTTTAAGAGGAAGGCCATGTTTTGTTGATTTTGTTGTCTGTTAGATTATTTTAGTTTGCATTGTCTGTTTGATTTAACATTTTTACCTATTTTTATGTTTTCTGTAGTTTTGTATCCGACCTATAATTAACTGGAATTGGGAATCAGTAAATTTAAATAAATAACAATAACAATATTGAAAATATTAGGAACCATGTTAGACATAAACAGCAACAGATTGAGCGAGAGAAAAAGATGTAAACATTCAAAAAGACTCTATATGCAATGAGAACTGCAGGCCCCTATGACAGTTTCCGAGATTTTGTGTTTTATTTCATTAAAACATCTTATTTTTTTGCGATAATTGTATTAAAAATTACACAAAACTGAAAACAGTCTACATAGAGTAAAAATATATTTAAAAATGAACAGAACAGAAGAAAGGAAAAAAATGACCATCTCTTCCTCCTCAGCAAGTACAATCAACCCCAAAAATGTACCGCCATTTCTCAAATAAAAAAAAAACCAATCACTTCTTCATCCCATACCTCAAACATATTCTCTACGATCAAATCTTTAAGGTTTTACCACTCCATCTTAACAACAAAAATGCATTCAGGTTATCAGAAATTACAACATAACATACAAATTATATTAATAAACATTTTTTAATCTCCTTTTCCATTTATCTGTACATTTCATTTTCTATTTAAACAAATCCCCCTATCCCATTTTCAAATAAAGTTTTTAAAACATCATCATACAGTCCTAATCAGCAAAAATCCATTAAATCTTACCAAAAATAGCAGCCCATTTATATGAATCTTAAGCAATAAATCAATTTTGTGGGTTTTTTTCTTTCCCCCCCACATATTTTAGTTCCCTCCAGTGAAGTCCAAACATTTCCTTTCTCATATTTTTTTTTTACCAATTCTCTCGTTATTGGCATCTTTATCTAATTTCTTTTGTAATTCCAGCATTGAAAAGTTATCCATGTCACTGTTTACATTATCACTGTAACTTCTTATGAAATCTTTGACAATTCCAACAAATCCGTTTTTTAAATTCATTGAAAAGAAGTTAACCACATCACTCTTCTGGTTTAATATTTGTAATTATTAAATTATCTTCCAGTTTTGTTTGTAAGTCTATTATTTCCATCTTTTTCTCATCATTTTTAAACTCACATTCCAATTAGTTTCTGTTTTATTCAGTGGATTACTCTTCATCAATATCAGTTTCCAAGTTCTGTAGTAGCAGATTACACCTTTAGCCCATTCCCCCCAAATTTCCTTTATTTCCTTCTTGTGCCCTCTGGTGTCCACTCTTCAAGTCATTTTATTAGTTGTTTAGATATAAGCATATAGACATTTCCCATGAAAAAAGGATTATTTTAATTAATTTCAAAATCTGAAATCAAATCCATCTGAACCCCTAGTGACTAGTCCAGCAGTTCTCAACCTGTGGGTCGGGACCCCATTTGGGGTCGAACGACCATTTCATGGGGGTCGCCAAACAATGCAGTCCGCCATTTTTTTCCCTTTTCCTTAGCTGTGCTACTCCCTTTTATTCTATTGGCTTTTGAAAGCCAATAGAATAGATTCTCTTGAATAGAGTCTAATTCTATTGGCTTTCAAAAGCCAATAGGAATTGTCCAGGCTGTCTCTGCCCTACTGAGCCCGCCAAAAGCCCCAGTCTGCAAACGGTGCTGCAAGTTGTCTGCAGCAAAGGTGAGCTGTCTGGAAGCTTCCACCCCTCCCTGCTGAGCAACTACTAAAAATGTAAGTAAAAGAGGGCCAGGGGTGGGAGGTGGGAGGCCGGTGGGCGCAGGGAGGGTTGCTAGCGCGCATGGGGCTCGGCGGGTGCCTTACCTCCCTTGGGCTGGGCCAGCTGGTGGCCCATCCAATGGGTTGGCCTGCGCCATCTCTGCCACTTGCCAGCTATGCCTCGGCCGGCGCAGGGGGCGGCACTACGCATGTGCGGCGCTCCTGGGCAGGGAAAGTCCTCAACTTACGACTGGTTGGGTAGTCCTCGACTTACGACCAGTTGGGGTCACGGCATTAAAAAGGTTGAGAACCACTGGACTAGTCCATTTAAAACTTTCTAAAATTAATGCTGTGATAATCTTTTGGGTATATATATTCCAAAAAAAGTTGTTACAAAATTTTATATATATAGTTTTCTTTTTTAACAGTTTGAAGGAGAATTCATCCAGCAAATACAACCCGACAGTTCTTAAAGTTTTCAGTTTTTAATATGCACTATTAAAAAAGTGGAGTTCAAAGTATAAATTTGAGGTTTGGTCAAATCTTTCGTTTGTGAAATGCTACATGGCTCTGAAGTCGATGGAACCTGTTGAATCCCAGCTATTTACAACTTGAAGCAAGTTTCATGCCAGTAGGGTATGTACTACCCACAAACTCCATCAAGGCACAACATTTCAGGCAAAAGATTGTATTTAGTCTTTCAAACATACTGTCTTGAGGTAGAAATAAATCAGCTCATGGACCTTCGGTCCTGTGCGCAGTGCAGCAGTTGAGGGGTTTGGGACTCTGTGCCCTCCAGCTGAGTTTGTTCCTTTTAGGGGACCCTAAATGGGCCAGAAACTGCCCCGGAAAGGTGACAATGAAGGAAGAAAGTCCCAGGGACCTCGGGGAGACAGCAGTTGACCCAATTGTTCCAGGAGAAGCCTTCCAGAAACCAATAGGAGAAAGGCTAGCCTAACTTCAGAGTCTAGCCCAAGCTGTAAGCAACCGAAGTCAAAAACACTATTTTAAGCTGATCATAAACAGCGTGCTTAAATCTGGGTAAGAACATTGATTTTCTCTATCCTACCTATCAACTCTCCTGAAGGGGAGGAAAAAAAATTCCTAAGAAGCAAAAAACCTGCGAAAGTGAAGGGGGGGTTGCCCCACCCTTTTGCTAACGGAAGTGGCAAATTGAACCTTTTATGGAGGACTAAAATCTGAAAAATGAACTAGTGCTGACACCTACTGGTGGATGAGGATGATGGCAGCTATGGCTTTCATGTAGGACTTGGTAAAATCTGGAAAAAACTAATTTCTACTTGTGACCTTTAAAGCTTTAACAATAAAAAACAGTTGTGACAAAAAAGAAAATAATCTGGGTTGTAGATAAAGTGAGACTTAAAATTTTAGGGAACAAAAAAAAACTTTTTTGAACTCTCTGGATTATAAGTATTTATTTAACTCTGACCTCAAAGATATTTTCAGAGGGGAAAAAAAATCTGGATTCTTGGTCATCATGGAAAATCAGAGATTTATAGAAAGAACTTATCAAGAAAAAATAAATACTTTTCAAGAGGAGACATATGATATGTTGCATCTAATTCAAATAATAATGATTTCAAACCACAAAGAAATCCAAAATAACTTGGAAAATATAAGCCAACTCATCTCCAATTCAATTTTATACCCAAAAAAATCCCAGGAAAATACAACAGAGAAGGAACAGATAAAACAGATAACTGAACATAAATTCAAGGATAGAGACTTAAAGATGGAATTCTACAAAACAAAGAAATATGATTTAATAAAGACAACCTACATTTCAACACTACAAAGTAAACTTGAGGATAAGAAAAAAGACTGGATAAAACGAACTGCAGAGATGCCAGGGAAAACACTAGAACTGGAGAGACAAAAAATGACAGGAGAAGCAGAGAAAAAGAAGGAAAAAGATTCCCAATAAAAATGAGTGGTAAATGCCTCTAACAAAGATACTGTACTTGACTTACTTTTTACATCTACAGTAACATCTATAAGAATATGGAAAGATTTTTTTGACTCAGCAGAACATATTGATTAAGAAAGACATTGGGCAAAAGAAAAAGGCTAAAGTGAAAATTAAGAAAATAGATGATGGGACCTATCAGAGAGAATATTTAAAAAAGAAACACTTATTTGAAAATGGTTAAAGAAATAGTAAAATTTTGGATGTGAATTTGACTTTAAGAGGGAGGAGCCCCTCAAGTAACATAGTTCTTTCTTTTTCTTTCTCCTTTTTCTTTTATTCTTGGATGTAAGTAATATAAAAGAGTTGGAATGGCCTATATAAAGGAAACGTTTTAGATATCTAAAGGTGATTGACTTTAAGAAAATTATAAATGGATTAAAAATATTTTGACTAAGAGCTAAAAGACTAGAGGATTAGGTTTATTAAATGGAATATTTTAAGATTAAATACATTTTTAATTATGGTAAAAAAGAACAAAAAATGGAAATATGTGTTAGCTTATAGGAAATAGGGATTTTAAGTGGTATACTATCTTTTATTTTATTCTTTTTCTTATTCTCATTCTTTCTCTTTTTAGTCTTATTTATTCCTTAAGAAAGGCAAAAGTATTGGGTTGGTTTACATGAGAAAAAATAGATTTAAATATTTAAATGTAATTAATTCTGAGAAAAACTTAACCAGTAAAAATGTTTAGAACATTGTGGGAAAAACAAATGTAAACAAGAACTGTAAACAGCATATATGATGAGACAACCAGAACGAGTAGATAGAAAAAGAATACTACATTGATGTGATTATTATTTGTAGAAATATTAGAAAACTTTTATACTTATCATTTATTAAAACAATAAGAAGTGTATTAACCTAAGGTTGGTAAAAGAGAACACTATGGGGAAAAGAAGAAATCATGTAAAGTTATCATGTGGAATATAGATTATAGAATGTAATTTTTAGTGAATGTTTGTTAAATGTAAACCCAGACAATGCACTTTCTACCAAATATTAAGGTGATTATGTTAAAAAATTAATAAAACATACTTTAAAAAAATCAGCTCAGTAGCTGAGCCCAGATGACCATTGCAGAGATTAAACAGATGCAAAATTGATTTTGTGAGAGAATGTCCTGAGAAACCAGAACAAAATAGTACCATTGTCATCTGAGCAAAAAACCAATTTAAGTAACATCTGTACATGTCAGTTCCTGTACTACAGTATTTTTCTGCAGCAATCATTTATTTAATGAATGTAATGACTAAAATGTTTATTTCAAAATTTTTAAGTAGATTCTCACTTAGTCCTAGAAAGAGTGGGATCACAAATCTGAACAGAATACTTCCTAGAAGATTCCAGATTGTGTCTTTATCATCAGTTATATAAATAAATAAAAACAGCAACAATCAAAGATAGCAGAAATATCCTGCCTGAAACCATAAAGAACGGTTGCCCTAAAGAAGAAACAATCCAGAGTTTATAGACCACTATAATGCAACTTACTGGTTTGTTTGGCACTCCACAAAGCCTTCAGAACTGCAGGATTTTAGCCAAGGTTGTATTCATATCCTTATTTTTCAAAGTATAAATAATGGGATTGCATAAAGGAATGACGGTGCTGTAAAACAGGGAAATAATTTTGTCCTGGCCTGCAGAGTGACTGGACTCAGGTCTGATGTACGTAAATATGGCACTGCCATAGAAAAATGCTACAACTGTCATATGGGAACCACATGGGGAGAAAGCTTTGTGCTGCCCTTCTGTGAATTGGATTTTCAAGATGGCTGCTAGAATGTGGGTATAAGTCATCATGATAAAAGTGATAGGAATAAGCAAGTTGAAAATGCACCCCACAAAGGTAATCTTTTCAATAACACTGGTATCGACACATGCCAGCTTCAGCAAAGCTGGCATTTCACAAAAATAGTGATCTATCCGGTTGGAGCCACAGAATTGCAACTACTAAGAGAACTGTATGGGCCACTGGGAGGACAAGGACACTAGTCCAGCATGTCATGGCCATAAAGATGCACATTCTTTTGTTCATGAGGACTGTGTAATGCAGTGGATGGCATATTGCCACATGTCTATCATAGGCCATCACTGCCAGGAGAAAACACTCTGCTTTGGCCAAGGCCAGAAAGATATACATCTGCATGGCACATCCAACCACTGAGATGGCTTGTCCTGGGCTTTGAAGGTTGGTCAGCATCTGGGGGATGGTGCTGGAAGTATAGCAGATGTCATTTTCCAGATCAGATGTCTGGATCACATAACGTACAGATAATGTAAAGTAATATTTTACAAATTGCGTCCTCATCTTATTTGTTGAAAAACGTATCTAATTATCCATACCAAATGGAAGTAACAATTCTTTTACTGTATCTTATTTCTTATACAGTTGATAAGCCTGAATTTATCTTCATCCTTACCTTTTTCAAAGCATTTGTGTTTAACAGCATTACATTTATAAATGTAATTTACTTCCATTAAATCCAGCTGGTTACGACATGCTTTTACTTATTTATGTATTTATTTGTTCTAAATCTGAGATTGAATTGTGTTAATGTCTTGATTCTCATTGTTTCAAATCATTTAGCATATAATTGTCTTTATTTGCATAGCTTTACTTCTTTTTAAAGCCAGAAAGATAAACAATAGCCTCATAAACACTTTACCAGACCCCATTGTTTGGATAAGGAAACATGGAGGTTAAGTAGATTTGGAAGGAATTTTTAGTTCCCAATGACCCTTCAATCTGATATCCTCTTGTAGGGATAAAAGTTCATCAAGTATACAACTTTGGGGTCCAGACATTCCTCTGTTTAAACTTGAAATGATTGGGTTATGACAGTGGAGGTGAACCTATGGCACGGGTGCCAGAAGCAGCACTCAGAGCCTTCTCTGTCGCACCGTCGCCCCAATCCTAGGCCTTCAGCTGGGTTTTATAAAAGCTTTTTGCTTTAGGCCTCCGCTACCATGTGCAAAAAAAAAAAAAAAAAGTTCAATCAGTCAATTTCAACTTCTCACAAGAAAAAAAAAGATCTTACAAAGTTGGAATTGATTGATAAATGGGCCACACCCACCCGGCACTCGACAATGCATAAGTGGGTTTTGGGTTGCAGTTTGGACACTCAGTCTCTAAAATGTTCGCCATCACTGGGTTATGATGTGTGTATGTACGGGTTGCCACTTCCACATCTATTCCTCTGCTTTGTTACAGTCAATGATTTGAATATTCTGTTAGCCTCATCAATGGAATATATGTTGAACAGTCTTTTGATTTACTGGACTCTAAAAAAGTTTTGAAAGGTGATTCATTATAATAGGAGTGTAAAATGAATGTGGCCATGCTTATATTCTGTGTGCTTCTGTTAACATTTTATTTGTTTAATTGTCTCATAGCTATAAGATCATTACCATTTAAGGATATGAATGAACATTTGAATTATGTACCCAAAATATGAATCACTTATATGAAGTCGGTGGAGGGGGGCACCACAGATAGCAAAAAAGATCACTATTCAGTGTTGCAAAGATGCAGCTTCCTCAGATTTAAATCCTGAATCACAGATATATTCCTTTCTCTTTATGATCTAAGTTATTTAGTGACAAGGCCCTTTTTTCATCTTACCCTATCAGCATCTGAAATGCACCCACCTGTTAGTTGTAATGTTGTGGAAAGGTTTATTGCCTGTATTACACCCAGTATTCCTTCCTGTTTTCATTTTCGAGCAGAGAGACTTCTTCAATTCAGTTTTAAATGTCTGTTCCTCTGGGAGGAACCAGCACTCCAGTGGCAAAACACATGCTTCTTCCGAAGGAGACCTCAAATTCAATGGAGCATTCATAACAAAAATTGCTGTGTGATGCCCTGGAGACTTTCTCTTAGATTTAGACCAGTGTTTCTCAGTTTTAGCAGCTTTGAGTGTACTTCAACTCCCAGAATTCCTCAACCAGCCATACTGGCTAGAGAATTCTGGGAATTGGCCCACTCATCTGCCAATCCAGTCAATCCAGGTTAAACACACCTACAATTTGTTGGCTGTTTTCAAATCTATTGGGAGACAAAAATACAAATAATCTCTACCATATTTCCAATTTGTCTGTCTAGAATTTAAAGAAATACTGGCTAATTGGTACTTATCCTTTTGGGAAAATACTGTACTTGAACACAAAAAACTCAAACCAGATTGGTTGTTCTTGTGGATAACTTGTAGCACGTCTTTCAGGAGCACAGTATATCTGTTCTTTTGAAGTGATATTTCTCAGTATTATTTAATACAATTAATCATGGCATTCATTTGGGCCATCTGTGAGGGTTGCAGATTGAAGAAACTGTTCTGCAGGAGTTCTGATCTTTCCTGGCAGTTCCTTCTGATTTAGTTGCAGGAGGAGCAGTTTTGCCCTAGGGCACCCCAGTCTGGAGGACCCCAGAAATTGATCCTCTCACATCTTGTTTAACCTGTGCACAAAGACTTTAGAATAACTATCTGTCGGGGATTTGGTATCAGCATGATGATATCTAGCTTTGCATTTCTATCCCAGGCTGAGCTGGAGATATAGTGGAGAATTGCTAGAGTCCATGAGGTACTGGATGCGATAAAACTAGCAAAACAAAATTATTGTTAGTACAGAAGCCATGGATATTCCGGCTATTGCTCTAGATGAGCTTACACTTTCCCTGAAAGCTACTCTGAAGGTTCATAGCTTCTGCTGAAAGAGCAGGTGGAACAGTGGTGGGATTCAGCCAGTTTGCACCACTTCGGCAGAACCAGTAGCTAATTTTTTGTTGCCCAGGCCCAGAATGGACTTCCAGAAGCGGCATCCACACAGAGAACCAGTTATTGACATATTTGAATGGAAGTTATGCCTAAAAGAGCTTTTGACTATTTATAGTGGATAAGTTATTCCCGAACAAGTGAGTGATCCGTTCTTCGGCATCCCTCAGTTGGACTACTGCATGTGGCTTCATTTAGGACAGTTCTTTACAATAGAAGAGAATATAACTGCCTTGTTGAAACTGCTGCTAAGCAATTGTCCGGAATGGTGTGGATTTTATTCCCTTTCCACTACTCTCCACCATTTATTAGACAAGGCTTTCCATCTTTCTGTCCCTCACAGCATGCTTCAAATACAAGCATAAAGACCTATCAGTGTGTTGTTGATATTTTGGTAATGGAAAGAAATTGTTTCTGGTTTCCAGTGAACACCTGGATTATGTAGCCGCAGCCAATGAATCCCTAGCATGAGGGGCACCTGTAAGGAAACCATCACTGTGTCACAAGTAGAAATAAATCAGCTCAGGAGCTCAGCCCTAATGACAATTGCAGAGATGAAATCGATGGAAAATTTATCTCAGAGTGGTGCAAAGATCCTATGAGGGTGTGCCCTGAGAAACCAGAAGAAAATAGTACCATTATATTGCCATCTGCGCAAATCTCCAATTTGTTTAAGTAACCTCAGTACATGTCAGCTCCTGTTGCTACTGCACTACAGTATTCTTTTTCAGCAAACATTTAATGAATGTAATGACTGAAGGTTTTTTTTTCAAAATTTTCAAGTAGATTCTCACTTAATTCTAGAAAGAGTGGGATCACAAATCTGAACAGACTATTTTCTAGAAGATTTCAAATTAAGTCCTCATCATGAGTAAAACTCCCTTTTTACAACCCTGTAATCCCTATCAATCTTTATTATGGTCACAGACCCACAAATAAAAGCATTAAAACAATAATAATAGTAGAAAATAAAAATAAAAGACCGACAGAATAATATATATTTAAAAAGTGACAATAAAAGTTAGCAGAAAGATTCTGCCTGATACCGTAAAGAACTGTTGCCCAAAAGAAGAAACAGTCCAAAGTTTATAGACCACTACAATGCATCTTATTTGTTTGTTTGGCACTCCACAAAACTTTCAGAACTGCAGGATTTTAGCCAACGCTGTTTTCATATCCTTATTCTTCAAACTGTAAATAATGGGATTGCACAAAGGAATGACAATGCTATAAAACAGAGAAATCATTTTGTCCTGGCCTGGAGAGTGACTGGATTCAGGTCTCATATACATAATTATGGCACTGCCATAGAAAAGTGCTACAACTATCATATGGGAACCACATGTGGAGAAAGCTTTGTGCTGCCCTTGTGCAGATTGGATTTTCAAGATGGCTGCTAGAATGCGGATATAAGTCATTGTGATAAAAGTGATAGGAATAAGCAAGGTAAAAATGCACCCCACAGAGGTAATCTTTTCAATAACTCTGGTATCAGCACATGCCAGCTTCAGCAAAGCTGGCATTTCACAAAAATAGTGATCTATCATGTTAGAGCCACAGAATGGCAACTGCCAAGTGAGAACTGTATGGGCCACTGGGAGGACAAGGCCACTAGTCCAGCATGTCATGGCCATAAAGATGCACATTCTTTTGTTCATGAGGATTGTGTAGTGCAGTGGATGACATATTGCCACATATCTATCATAGGCCATCACTGCCAGGAGAAAACACTCTGCTGTGGCCAAGGCCAGAAAGATATACATCTGCATGGCACATCCAACCACTGAGATGGCTTGTCCTGGGCTTTGAAGGTTGGTCAGCATCTGGGGAACGGTGCTGGAAGTGTAGCAGAGGTCCACACAGGCCAGATGGCTTAGGAAGAAATACATGGGGGTGTGGAGTCGGGCATCCAACCATATGAGCATTAAGATGATTGTGTTGCCCATGAGAGTGAGAGCATAGACAACTGAGAAAAGTCCAAGCAATAAAAGACGGATCTTCAAGCTTCTGGAAAGGCCAAGCAGATGGAATTCAGACGCATAGGTTTGGTTTGCCATTATAACTTCCTGGTTTCATTTTACGTGCACAAGAGGGAAATTCTGTCAACTACAGTATGTCTGGAGCAATGAATATCAATCACATCCACTGCTGTAAAAAAAAAGAAATAGACTCAATATCTGAAATGCAATTGTTCCTATAAAAGATAGGGTTAAATTGTTGTTGTTAGCTGCAAAATCGTGTCCGACCCATTGCAACCCCATGGACAATGTTTCTCCAGGCCTTTCTGTCCTCTACCATCTTCTGGAGTCCATTTAAGCTCATGCCTACTGCTTCAGTGACTCCAGCCAGCCAGCTCATTCTCTGTCATCCCCTTCTTCTATTGCCCCAGCATTAGGCTCTTCTCCAGTGAGTCCTTCCTTCTCATTAGGTGGCCAAGTATTTGAATTTCAACTTCAGGATCTGGCCTTCTAAAGAGCAGTCAAGGTTGATCTTGACTGACCGGTTTGATTGCCTTGCAGTCCAGGGGACTCGCAGGAGTCTTCTCCAGCACCATAGTTCAAAGGCCTACATTCTTTTGCGCTCAGCCTTTCTTATGGTCCAACTTTCACAGCCATACATTGCAACTGGCTTTGCATGGCCTTGACTATACATACTTTTGTTGGCAGGGTGATGTCTCTGCTTTTTAGTATTTACATTTACCAAATATCCTTGATCTACATACATTTCTTTTTTTCTCTATTTATCACTATGAAACCCATTTTTTTCCTGCAGTGGTGTTAGTCCATTTCATATCAGTAACTTATGTAGTTATTTATGTATTTGTCACATTGATATGACCATCCATCTTACAATAAAGTGATTCTGGATGGCATACAACAACTAATAAACAAATAGAAAACCAAATATCTCTTCATAATCAGCAGAAATGTTAGTCATCCAAAGCAAAGTCAATATTGAAAGAATTAGAAACAAATTGTTCTAATGAAATGTAATAAAGATAATAAAATGTGGGGGGAGCATATTCAATGCAAACATAACATAGCCTCATTTATTTCATCAAAACTTTATAGTCTGTCTAATAAAATAAAGCAGTGCATCAAGGGACCATGAAAATTAGTGTACATGAGAGATTTGCTGTTCTCTAGGAATAATAGGAATTTACTAAAATACATACATACATATATTTGGTTATTGGTTAAGTTTGAAGAGAAATGCAACAACTTAAAATATTTTATGCGGATTTTAGTCTAGAAAACCTATTTCTCCGGCCCAAACATCAATTTACTTTCATTGCAGACTTTTTTTTGTTCTGTGAATTCTTCTCCATCTGCAATTTTTAATGTCAAAAAAAAAGGCGATACAAAAAATGATTGCAGAATAAATCAATAGTAATTCTGTAAGAATTGTAAGACTTTGCCTACATTGATATTTTGTGTAGACTCATTGAGAGAATAGAAACCCAATTTCTATGTTTTGCAGAAAGAAAGAAAATGATGGCTTTAAACCTTTCTTTAGCTTGCCTGCTTGCTATGCAGTTCTTCATAGATGTCCCCTCCTGTCTGCATGCTAAATTTTCTATCTGTCTAAGTTCAATTAGAAAATTTGGCATTCATGTACAAAATGGAGAAAACAAGACACAAGTAAGAATTTTTACTCTGTATTCTTAAATCAAAGGTTCTTAACTATGGAATAAAATGTTAGACTTTTATGTCAGTACATACTTTAAATAAAATGTATATATAGTATCTCCAATTTAAATTCATGACACATTTTGACTATTTGCTAAAATTATTAAAAAAATAGACACAGGTTTCTAAAATCTCTTTGACTCACCAGTTAATTTCAATTTTAGTTACAGGATAATTAAAAACTTCTTTTTGAGATCAGCAAATTTTGCAAGCAAAGTTTTGTTCAATATTGTCTGATCATTTTCCAGATCAGATTTCTGTTTATTTTATAATGTAAAATAATATTTAAAACTGCTTCCTCATTTTCTTTGTTGTAAAAACTTATCTCATTCCATCCCAAATGGAGGTAACGATTCTTTTACTGTTTTTCTTCTGCACTTCATAAGCCTGACTTTATCTTCATCCTTACCTTTCTCAAAATGTTTCTGTTTAATAATGTTCAACTTATAAGTATCCTTTACTTCCATTAAATCCAACTGATTATGACATGCTTTTACTTACAGTATTTATGTATTCATTCTAGAAAGAGTACAGAGAAGAGCAACAAAGATGATTAGGGGACTGGAGGCTAAAACATATGAGGAATGGTTGCTGGATTTGGGTATGTCTAGTTTTATGAAGAGAAGGACGAGGGGGGACATGATAGCAGTGTTCCAATATCTCAGGGGCTGCCACAAAGAAGAGGGAGTCAAGCTATTCTCCAAAGCGCCTGAGGGCAGGACAAGAAGCAATGGATGGAAACTAATCAAGGAGAGAAGCAACCTAGAACTAAGGAGAAACTTCCTGACAGTTAGAACAATTAACCAATGGAACAACCTGCCTCCAGAAGCAGTGAATGCTCCAACACTGGAAGTTTTTAAGAAAAGACTGGACAGCCATTTGTCTGAAATGGTGTAGGGTTTCCTGCCTGAGCAGGGAGTTGGACTCGATGATCTCCAAGGTCCCTTCCAACTTTATTATTATTATGGATCATCGCACAGTCAGCCAGATGTTCAGACTGGATTTGGCGTTTTGTCTACCTATCGAGTCCTTACCCAGGACCTGGGATAGGCAGATGTGGATGTTTGATGGTATTACAGATATCGTCGCAGGATGGAAGCAGTTCCTAGTAAGGCTGCCTTTTGCAATTGACTAATAGCTAATTTGTCAATGCCAATGGTGTTCAAGTGGTGCTCCAGTTGTTTTGAGATTGCACCCAAGGAGCCTATGACTATTGGTACTACCCTTGCTTGCTTTTGCCACAGTCTTTTTATTTCTATTTGTAGGTCTTTGTATTTTGTTATCTTCTCCAGTTCTTTCTCATCTATTCTGCTGTCTCCAGGCACTGCCACATCCACTATCCAGACTTTTTTGTCTTTCTATCGACAATTGTTAAGTCTGTGGTGTTATGTTGCAGGTGCTTGTCTGTTTGAATTCTGAAGTCCCAGAGCAGTTTAATTTTATCATTTTCTATGACTTTCTCTATTTTATGATCCCACCAGTTTTTGCTTACAGGCAAATGATATTTTTTGCAGATCTTCCAATGCACCATTGTTGCTACTTTGTCATGCCGTGCTTGTAGTCAGTCTGTGCAATCTTCTTGCAACAGCTTACCAGGTGGTCCACTGTTTCTTCAGCTTCTTTGCATAGGCGGCACTTACTGTCTGTTGTTGTTGTTGTTGTTATTGTTGTTATTATTATTATTATAAATCTGGGATTGAATTATGTTAATCTCTTGATTCTCATTGTTTCAAATCATATCAGCAACATGTCCTTCTGTTTTTGCATAGCTTACCTCTATTTAATTCCAGAAGGATAAACAGTAAATACTTTACCAGACCCAACACTTTGGATAAAGAAACGTGGAGTTAAGTAAACTTGGAAGGAGTTATTCTTCTCCAGTGTTTGCTCCCTTGTTTAAGATACTGGACCAGAAGCCAGGAGAGCATGAATTCTAATCTAATCTACATATGGTAACTTTGGGCCTCTCGTTATCCCTCAGTTGTCAGCGCTAGGAAGTTACTTCTGGAAATGTTTGCAAGAAAACTGTAGGGACTTTTCCGTGTGGTCATCAGGAAGTAGGAATGGCTCAGTGGACCATACAATAATATTGCATTTAATATACTTAGTACAGTTATCAAAACAAGTATTACATGGAACTTAATATATATTAAGGTACCAATATTAACCCCATTAAATATTTTCGTACATAGAGAGTTATTGAGAAAATCTTTTATGGCAGGCTAAAGCCCTTGAGTATTCTTGGCTAAATTGGCTAAATTGAGGTTACTTACAATTATCATGGCTATAGACTAAGCCTCAACTACATATTTGGGCTCTTATTTTAACAACAAATTTTTTTAAGAAAAAAAGTTATGAATATTCTTCTCCATGGGTCTTTTTGGAAAGTAAGTTTGTTACACTTCTGAAAATTTAACACATTTTAGGATCCAGGTATATTAAATAGAAATCTTCCTTCCTTCCTTCCTTAAATACTGATGTTTTGATTCCAAATCATGAGAAATTGTTGTGGTGAAATGACACAAATTTGAAAACAGTGCAAAGATTTAGTAAAATATTTATTAGAATGCTTAGACCAAACAAGGGATCAATACTTTAAATAGATTCCTAATGATTATTTTGAAGATATTGAGAGATGTGATTTCCTACATTTTTTTTCTTAACAAGATACCTATATTTTAAATATCTTTAACAGAAGTAGTACTTGAATAAAACCAAAATTCAATATTAATAGGAATTTAAAAGTAAATGAAAGCCAGTATTAGTTATATCTCTCTATTTTGTAATAAAAATGATAATACCAAATTTTGGAGAATCAATGATTTAACAACCATATAATTCTTATGATTAAACATAATACTAATTCCTCAAAAATATCTAACAAAATGAAATTCAATGGTGAAATATGTAAGGTTCTACATTTAGGCAAGAAAAACCAAATGTACAGGTATAGTATAGGGGGTACCTTGCTCAATAGTAGTAACTGTGAGAGGGATTTCAGAGTCCTAGTGGACAATCACTTAAATATGAGACAGCAGTGTGCTGCAGCTGCCAAAAAAGCCAACTCAGTGCTGGGCTACATTAACAGAGGGATAGAATCAAGATCACGTGAAGTATTAATACCACTTTACAATGCCTTGGTAAGGCCACACTTGGAATATTGCATCCAGTTTTGGTCACCACGATGTAAAAAAGACTCTAGAAAGAATACAGAGAAGAACAACAAAGATGATTAGGGGACTGGAGGCTAAAACATATGAGGAACGGTTGCTGGATTTGGGTATGTCTAGTTTAACAAAGAGAAGGACGAGGGGGGACATGATAGCAGTGTTCCAATATCTCAGGGGCTGCCACAAAGAAGAGGGAGTCAAGCTATTCTCCAAAGCGCCTGAGGACAAGAAGCAATGGATGGAAACTGATCAAGGAGAGAAGCAACCTAGAACTAAGGAGAAACTTCCTGACAGTTAGAACAATTAACCAATGGAACAACCTGCCTCCAGAAGCGGTGAATGTTCCAACACTGGAAGTTTTAAAGAAGAGATTGGACAGCCATCTGTCCGAAATGGTGTAGGGGGTTGGACTCGATGACCTCCAAGGTCCCTTCCAACATTATCATCATCATCATCATTATCATCATCATCATCTTTTCATGTTTATTGGACCTCTCAAAGTATGTTTGAAAAGGATGATATGTTAGATTTTTGTCTGTTGGCATAGCAAGAAATTTGAAAATTCTTACGAACTGATCCTGTCCAGCTAGAATCAGTTTGGTTTCACATTATTACATCCATTAGAATAATTCTGGGAAGAAATAAAGTGAAGGATATTAATATAAAACTGTATACTTAAAGAATGGAATCTCTCGTCTCATAAAGAGTTTTGGCTCTATTGAAATTCAACATGACAAGATAATTTTACCTTCATGTAAAGAAATCTGCCTTCCTAATTTTAAAAATGGATCCTAGCTTAACTATGTTGTCTATTTTTGAAAACACTCTGTGTTCCAGAGATGAGAAGTGAAGCAATATGTATCTCTATGGCATAGATTTAATGATAAAGATAAGGGCTGAATTAATTTTGTTGTATTATTAGTGGCTATAATAATATAGCTCTTTAAAATCATTTTTTCTATTAACTTGTTTTCTCTTTTTTGTGATGTTTAGTTTATCTCAGTCATAATACATCTAGGTATATGTTTTTTCTTGTATATTCACTATTTATCTTTTTTCTGTTGGTACTGTATTCTATTTCATATTTAAAATGTATATTTTAAAACTTTTGCTAAAACATCGTATTGATTTTCAATTAAAAATACAAAGACTGTACTGAAATGCACCCACCTGTTAGTTGTAATGTTGTGGAAAGGTTTATTCTGTTTTTGCCTGTATTACATCCAGTATTCCTTCCTGCTTTCATTTATAGGCAGAGAGACTTCTTCAATTCAGTTTTAAATGTCTGTTGCTCTGGGAGGAACTAGTGCTCCAGTGGCAAAACACATGCTTCTTCCGAAGGAGACCTCAAATTCAATGGAGCATTCATAACAAAAATTGCTGTGTGATGCCCTGGAGACTTTCTCTTAGATTTAGACCAGTGTTTCTCAGTTTTAGCAACTTTGAGTGTACTTCAATTCCCAAGAATTCCTCAACCAGACGTACTGGCTAGGGAATTCTGGGAATTGGTCCACTCATCTGCCAATCCAGTCAATCCAGGTTAAACACGCCTACAATTTGTTGGCTGTTTTCAAATCTACTGGGAGACAAAAATACAAATAATCCCTACCATATTTCCAATTTGTCTGTCTAGAACAGTGATGGCGAACCTTTTAGAGAATGAGTGCCCAAAAACTGGCCCCTGGTCTGCCCCCCATCCCCCACCCCGCCTATCCACTGGACTACTCACCGCCTTCAAGGCCCGCCCAGGCAGCCCAGCAGCACTATGGCGGCCACATCCTCTGCCCGCTCCCTGCAGCATCAACTGTGCACAATGGGGTGTGAGGGTAGAGTCTTGTCTACGCTGCCTGGCTGCCATGTCCTTGGCTGTGCTGCTCTATGTGGGCCACGCTCGCGGGTGAGTCTCCTTCAGGGGGCCTGCTGGAGAAGAGGGGGTTGCAGGGGGAAGCAATGCTGGGGCAACAGCATGTGTGCCCACAGAGAAGGCTCCAAGTGCCGCCTCTGGCACCCGTGCCATAGGTTCGCCACCACTGGTCTAGAATTTAAAGAAATACTGGCTAATTGGTACTTATCCTTTTGGGAAAATACTGTAGTTGAACACAAAAAACTCAAACCAGATTGGTTGTTCTTGTGGATAACCTGTAGCAAGTCTTTCAGGAGCACAGTACATCTGTTCTTTTGAAGTGATATTTCTCAGTATTATTTAATACAATTAATCATGGAATTCATTTGGGCCGTCTGTGAGGGTTGCAGATTGAAGAAACTGTTCTTCAGGAGTTCTGATCTTTCCTGGCAGTTCCTTCTGATTTAGTTGCAGGAGGGGCAGTTTTGCCCTAGGGCACCCCAGTCTGGAGGACCCCAGAAATTGATCCTCTCACATCTTGTTTAACCTGTGCACAAAGACTTTAGAACAGTGGTTTTCAACCTGTGGGTCAGGACCCCATTTGGGGTCGAACGACCATTTCACGGTCGCTAAACAACGCACTCCACCATTTCCCCCCCCCCTTTTCCTTAGCTGTGCTACTCCCTTTTATTCTATTGGCTTTTAAAAGCCAACAGAAGAGACTCTCTTGAATAGAGTCTAATTTTATTGGCTTTCAAAAGCCAATAGGAATTGTCCAGGCTGTCTCTGCCCTGCTGAGCCCGCCAAAAGTCCCATTCTGCAAACGGTGCTGCACCAGTTGAGTAGTCCTTGACTTACGACTGGTTGGGGCGGGGTCACGGCATTTAAAAGGTTGAGAACCACTGCTTTAGAATAACTATCTGTCGGGGATTTGGTATCAACATGATGATATCTAGCTTTGCATTTCTATCCCAGGCTGAGCTGGAGATACAGTGGAGAATTGGTAGAGTCTATGAGGTACTGGATGGGGTAAAACTGGCTGAATCCTAGCAAGACAAAATTACTGTCAATACAGAAGCCATGGATATTCCGGCTATTGCTCTAGAAGGGCTTACACTTTCCCTGAAAGCTACTCTGACGTTTCATAGCTTCTGCTGAAAGAGCAGGTGGAAGCTGTGCCTAATAGAGCTTTTGACCATTTTAGTGTGTGAGAAATAAGTCTTCATTCTGGTTCATCCAAGCCGGGAATAAATAGGCAACATGGAGACTGCTTTGGGAAGAAGGTTACAGTTTATTGAAGAAGCAGAAAGATGGTCCTTGCAAGAAGGAGCAGAGGAGAGGAAAGAGATTGAGCACATGGGCAGTAGGTTTTTTTATACCCTCTCTAGCCTTTTTTGGAATAGTTTCCTGTTCCTGTGGCATGAACCTTGAGGCTGTTTCTGAGTGTTTGTCTAGGCCTTGATATCTGTGGTTTAATCCTATTATCATATCCTGCTTCCCAGGTGATGGGGCTAATGACTCCTAGAGTTTGGGTGAGGTATGCAGATTTTCTTTGTCTTCTTGATTGTTCTGGCTTCAATTCTCTGATGGTTTTACATCTGCATTTGTATGGGGCTAAAGTCTTGCTTGGGGCAGAGAGATAGATTTGGGGCCAGGTTTGGTTTTAAAAAGTCCTTTTGAGGAAAAATATATTTTTCTGCCCTTTTTTAATATTTCTTTCTCTGGGCTAACTTCCCTCAAGTGGATATGCTATTCCTAGACAAGTGAGTGATCCATTCTTTGGTATCACTCAGTTGGACTACTGCAGGTAGCTTCACTTGGGACTGCTCTTTGTAATGGGAGAGAATACAATTGCCTTGTTGGAACTGCTGCTAAGCAATTGTCCGGAATGGTGTGGATTTTATTCCCTTTCCAATACTCTCCACCATTTATTAGACAAGGCTTTCCATCTTTCTCTCCTTTAGAGCAGAGGTCCCCAACCTTTTGGGCACCAGGGATCAGTTCTGTGGAGAGAGGTTTTTTTCACGGTCCAGAGAGTGCATGGTTTTGTGTGCTGCCTGCATCTCACAGATGGGGCTTTGCTTGTTTGTACGGACTGGTTGCTGGCATGCCGCGGCCCGGTACCAGTCCAAGGACCAGGGTTTGGGGACCCCTGCTTTAGAACGTGCTTCAAATAAATGCATAAAGACCTCTCACTGGTATCGTTGACATTTTGGTAATAGATTATGTAAATGCAGCCAATCATCCTTAGCATGATAGGCACCTATAAGGAAACCACCATACAGAGTAGTAAGAATTCTCTGTGAAGCTGTATGGTAAGCTGGAAGAGAGTTGTGCATTACACACTTACTATTCTATCCATCAATAATTTCCATCAACATCAATCTTTTTCATCTGGGTGGATAAATTACATTTGTGCTGGCAGTGCCAGGAGAATATGTACTGCATGGACACACAGGTGACCCTGCAGTTCTTCTCCCCCATTTGTTTTGAATGGCTATGATGCTATTAGCAACTTCCTGTTATTAACAGCTTCTGCTGCTGCATGAGTGATGTTGGAACAATGAGATTTCTCTCCAAAGCCCGTCCCTTTGATTATTAATAAGTCAGTTGTGTCTTTATGAAAGCATTCAATACTGTTCACCATAATTTGTGAGAATATGTGAACTTGCCATTTCAGTTACGTATTTTGTAAAGGTCTTTGCACTAGCCATTTGATAATTATGACTTCAGTATTTAATTCTTTTGTATAGATTAATTGATTTGAGGGGTACTTGGTGCTCTCTGGGCTTGCTTGTTTTCTTACAGATGTTTCATTACCCAAACAGGTAACACCATCAGTTCTAGTAAGAAGTGTGTTTGTATCAGTTTATATTCTAGAGTGGAGCGGGGGCAGGGTGGGGCGGTTTTTTGGCACTCAGTATCTAAAAAGTTCGTCATCACTGTTCTAGAGGCTTGCCCTGTCAGCATTGGTGAGGGTGATCTTAGAGCTTCTTTGGTTGGACTGTTTACTGTTGGTTTCTTGGGCAGTTTCTTGATTGGGGTATTATTTACTTGATTGTTGGTTTGATGTTAACCTTTCAGTTAATCTATGCTGATCTGGGTGCTGATTGTTGGTGGTGCTTGGGTCTTTTTGTTCCTTTTTGGGCTGGTTGATTGTTTCTTTTGCATAGTCTATAGATGTTGTTAATGTCTGTGTGTCTATTGATGACTGATTTGTCAGAGTGCCAGGCTTCTAGAAATTCCCTGGTGTTTTTGGACTTCAGTCGTGGGCTACAAATATTCTACTTTATTGATTAATTGAATTGTCTGGAATCCCTACCAGGAAGAAAGCATAACTTGTACTTTGTGAAAATATTATTGATTATTCAGTTGATTAAAAGTTTTCTTCCTGATCAGAGAACAGATTTTCTATTTTCAAAAAAACTGTTGCGTCAATTAAAAATTTACAACAGAGAGCATTTTTGCATAAGCACTTCCTGCTTTCGTGCATTTAAGCAGTGGTGGGATTCAGCCAGTTTGCACCAGTTTGGCAGAACTGGTAGCTAATTTTTTGTTGCCCAGGCCCAAAATGGACTTCCGGAAGTGGTATCCACACAGAGAACCGGTTGTTCACATATTTGAATCCCACCAGCGCATTTAAGGAAATACTTCCTCTAAGAAGTTACCTAATGTAACATCTATATTTATCACTTAAAAACAAAGGAATTATTTTTTGCAATAGTATCTCATTGTGAGCAGACTGTTAATTGCACAGTGGACTTAACCCAGTCACTCTCCTCCACCCAGTACAGAGGCATCCTGTGTGTTTCCAAAATATTTTCCAGAATACATCCCAAATGCTTTAAAACTAGTGTGGATAGCCATAATGGTCAGCAGGGGAGGGGAAATTTTGCTCCATTTGCAGATGCTATTCCAGGGAGAAACGGGCTCAGTCAGAAATCACACACGATTTCTCTAATGTGGACATTTATGAAGAATTATTTAATCAATCAATCAATCAATCAATCTGTAAAAACTCATATAGGTTGCTTTAATCAGTTCTGATCAATAGTAATAATAATGCAGATCATTGTTCATTACAACTTATATTTGTTCCGAGGGGCTGCCACAAGACAGAGGGACCAGGTTATTCACCAGAGCACCAGCAGGCAGGACAAGAAACAATGGTTGGAAATTGATCAAAGAGAGAAGCAACCTGGAATTAAGGAGAAACTTCCTGACAATGAGGACAATCAACCAGTGGAACAGCTTGCCTCCGGAAATCCTAGGTGTTCCATCACTGGAGGTCTTTAAGAAGAGACTAGATAATCATCTGTCTGAGATGGTATAAGTTCTCTTGCTTGAGCAGGGGGCTAGACTAGAAAACCTCAAAGGTCCCTTCTATTCTATTCTATTCTATTCTATTCTATTCTATTCTATTCTATTCTATTCTATTCTATCTCAAAAAGTGGCCATTTTTGCAATCTAATCATCATTCAAAACGTACATCATTACAGCATTTTTAGAAAGGCGTCTTTCATTGTCTTGCTGTTTAGACAGTATATCATGGGATTGAACATGGGTGTGACAATGCTATAGAAAAGAGAGAGTATTTTGTCCTGGCCTGGAGAATGGCTGGACTCTGGTCTCATGTACATAAATATGGCGCTGCCATAGAAAAGCACCACAACTGTCATATGGGAACCACATGTAGAGAAAGCTTTGTGCTGTCCTTGTACAGACTGGATTTTCAAGATGGCTGCTAAGATGCGGATATAAGTCATCAAGATAAAGGAGATGGGAATAAGTAAGGTGAAAATGCACCCCACCGAAGTAACCGTTTGAATCATTTGGGTATCAGCACATGCCAGCTTCAGCAAAGCCGGCATTTCACAAAAAAAATGATCGATCAAATTAGAGCCACAGAACGGTAATTGCCAGGTAAGAACAGTATGGACCATTGGCAGTAAAAAACCAGTAGTCCAGCAGATCATGGCTAATTTCATGCACACTGTCTTGTTCATGAGGAAGACATAATGCAGTGGGTGGCATATTGCTACAAACCTATCATACGCCATTACTGCAAGCAAAATGCATTCAGTAATAGCCAATGCCAGGAAAATATGCATCTGTATGGCACAGGCAGCCAATGAGATAGTTTGTCTTGGGCTTTGAAGGTTAGCCAGCATCTGGGGAACTGTGCAGGAAGTATAGCAGATGTCTATACAAGCAAGTTGGCCCAGGAAGAAATACATGGGGGTGTGGAGTCGCACATCCAGCCAGATAAGCATCAGGATGATTGTGTTGCACACCAAAGTGAGAGCATAGACAATTGAAAAAAGTCCAAGCAATAAAAGACGGATCTTCAAGCTCCTGGAAAGACCAAGCAGAAGGAATTCAGTCACAGATGTTTGGTTCATCATGATTTTTTTTTAGGGGGGGGGTTCACTGGATCTATGGACAAGGACCTGTATATATACACGAGGAACAAAAAAAAATGATTGTGCTTATAAATCTTACATAAACATCTTCAATTCCCCCCAAGTATCCCATTGTGTGAAAAAAATCTCTTTTATATTCTCAGCATTCATTTGAATATTTGAAAAGGGAAAGAAGCATATTTTAGACACATATTTTCATGGAACCAGGACACCTGCATGATGAAGATTAGGGGGGAATATGCACACCTGCAAAGTTTCCCCTTTGCAGAAACTGCAGTGATCACAGAGTACTGGACAGTACCATAGTTCTTCCACCCAAAGATACATATGGCAATGACGATTAGAAAAAGCGACCATGTCTGTGAGATATGTGATGCTGGTCACAGTTTCTCGAACTTTCACAGGTATATGATACTCTAAAAGTTATACTATAGATAGTTGTTTAATACAGCAATAGTAAAGCCACAGATGCTTGGGAAATGATTGATGAATCTGATTAATTAAAACCCTTTGCAGTGAAATAGATTGAGTAACCATGAATTATCACCAGTTCATATAAAAATTAAGACTATTGATCAGTATATGTAATTTTAATGCATATAGTAACTGCAATTTTTCCTCCATCAGACAACAATATTGGCTTTAAATACTATACAATTTCACGTATATATGAACAGAATGAGTGTACAGCTGCTGTAAAAAAAACTGAACTTCATACTTAATAAGAACAGAATTGAAACGCAACTGCCAATATAATAAATCTATGTTAAGGCCATGCTTGATATCCTATAGACATATATGGTCTTTATTGGAAAAAAATAAATAAATGGTGAAACTGGAAAAGATATCTGCCCTCAAATCCCAAATGTTTTGGGGCCAGAACAGTGACTGGGTCGCTTAATCTCAGACTAAGTTGCAGAAGGACAAGCATGACCAAACATGACCATATCCCATTATAGAAATGGGATAATAAAATTTCTATGCTTCTTCTACAATGTTAAAACTCGCTGAAACCAAAAGTGGGGAGATTGTATGCACACCCATACAAAGTATAGATTTTGCTGCCATCAGATAAATGAGAGTCAGGCCATTATCATGAATATAGTGCTCTTCATTTAGTAATTTCAACATAACAGACAAATCTTTTGTCTAAAGGTATATCAACACAGCATCATTGTTTAAACATGAAACAAAAACTTGAATTAGTCTCCTCTAAATAAGTAATATTTTGATACTTTGTAAGGACTCAGGCATTGGTTTATTACTATGGGATGTTCCAACTTTTTATTCTAGCATTCTTGCAAGTAATACCTACCTTAGCAGAACTTTTTAATAATTTATGCCCATTTTTCCTTTGTGGTTCTTCTCCTCTCAGATTAGTCTTCCACCATTACCTGCCCATTCTACACTCTCTGTACCCCTCCCAACTGCTGTCTCCAAACTTCATCCAGCTACCAGAATTGCATGTAATCTTAACTCGGCCTTTTATGAAGACTTCTTCCTAGATGTGCCTGATGATGATCCTCATCATCAGAGAACTACTCTCATTGCAACTTGAAACTACCCGTTCACTTGCAGCCCTGCTGTGATCCATTAAGTGTTCCTGAAAAAACACCAGGAGAAGCTATGCAAAGCCCACTTATTTTACAACTTGCTTATCTGAAGCACAAATATTCCCTCAGAGAACTTGTTTCCTGCTCCCTTGTTACAACGAGTGGGGCTGAAAAACAAATCCCACTTCATTTAATAGTGAAATAGTGATGTCTAATGTTTACAAGATGATAAGGGATATGTTTCTAAGAAATAACTAAGCTAAAATTTGTGTTCATATAAATATCTATATTTGAAATCTTTACTGCTTCTGTCAAGTAATGCACACCCAAGAACAAAGAAACAAATAATCGCCATATTAGCAAACATTTTTTTACTGACCTTAAGCCATGTGAACATAAGGAAATGTTCCCTCCGTGAAATAATAAAGTGTTCCAGGACGCTGAGCATGTAGATCTTTCATGGTCAACATTGTAATCTCATTTATTTGTTATTTTTATTGAATTTGAGATTCTGGGTGGTTCACAAAGTAAAAACCACAGGAAAAATAAATAAAAAAACATACTACAATAAAAACAAAGGAGCAAAAAGATGACAAAACCAGGGTACAAAATATATCTACATGAATGTATGTGCCCATGCACTCTCTCTCTCTCTCTCTCTCTCTCTCTCTCTCTCTCTCTCTCTCTCTCTCTCTCTCTCTCTCTCACACACACACACACACACAAAATTGTGAAGGGGTTTCAACCATCCTAGCCAAAAGCCTGGGCAAAGAGTCAGACTTTCAAGGCCCTGTGAAAAAATGCTAGTAGGCTGGTTGGTTAGTTGGCAAATTGTTTATTTCTTCATCTGGAAGTATAGTGTGTGTTCTGCTATTGACAAATATAGGACCCTGTTATTTCCTTTTTACTCACAGTAGAAACATTAAGTTATGGATAAAAAAAAACAAGGTGCAACACAATTCTGATGCTTCTGTGTATGTGGGATATGTGTGTGTATGGGTGTGTATTAATGATAAAATATAAGATTATATTTAATTATATTTTTGTAAATATTTTTGAAATAGAAGAAAAACTGGATATCAATAGCATCTCAAACTATAATTGATCATCAAAGCCATTTTTCAGAAGTCTCTCACTCAATTTCTTTTTCTGTTCAATATGTGTGCATTCATATGACATTCAATATACTCTATCCAGCTTCAGGAAACATCTCCATGTAAAACAGGGGTTCCCTCTCATATCTCTTCTCTTAGAATTTTTCAGTTCTAGAATATACCTGCACCATCATTAATATGTCTATGGAGAGAAAACCTAGCACTGCACAGAAGGATGTATGAATGACACCTGGCTCAGAGGAAACAGAAGTCTGCGTTTGCCACTTAGAGACTTTGCTTATCTGAGGTTTCACTAAAGAACCTTAAATGACCCCATTTCCTCAGGATAGATACTGTGACATGAACAGGTGGAACAGGAATTCAGCAAGTTCACTACAAGTAGTCCTTGACAGGAAATTTCGTTGCTAAGTGAGGTGGCACCCAATTTTAAGAACTTTTTTTTGCCATGGTTAATTGAATCACCCTGATTGTTTAAGTGACTTATATGGTTCTTAAGCAAAACCAATTTGCCCCATCGACTTTGCTTGTCGGAAGCCAGCTTAGAAGATTGTAAATGATGATCTTATGACTCTGGGATGCTGCAACTGTCATAAATACATGCTGTTTGCCCAGCAGGCAAAATTTGATTATGTGACCATGGAGACACCGCAATAGTTTGTAAGTATGAGGACTGAGCATAAGTCACTTTTTTTCATGGCTGTCATAAATTAGAATGGTTACTAAATGAATGGTTTTAAGTTGAGCATTATCTTATAAAATATCTTTCAAGTAGTTGCATCTGACTAGCATTCTTACAATCTAGGAACATCAAAGGCAGAACTATAAACAATCCCCCTGTTCCTACTTGCAGTATTTTGTTTGCTTGCTTGTATCCCTTTTATTATTTTTACAAATAACTCAAGGTGGCCAATATATCCAACATACACCTTCCTCCTATCTTCAAGTGGATAAGACATATCCATCGTATTTAAAACTTCAGTAATTCTTCGCAATGCAAAGTTTGAAAGCCCTTGTCCTCATGGTGTTGTGATTCACAGTATTATTTTATCAGGAAAATGTAGGCTTTTTTAAAAAACAACAACAACAACCCACTGATATGTCTTGGCTTTTATTGTTGGTTATTTTTCATTTTAAAAAACTCATATGATACATTATTGTCAGAACTGTTCTTGTCTAATTTTGTTATATCGTTTAGAGCAATGAAAAAGCAATTATTTCAGTTAACTGTCAAATACAATATCTGGTTATGTGTAGGCAAACTTCCTACCCGAATCTCCTCAAATTCAACTGATCTACTTAAACCGTTGCTACTGGTTAAGTTTCTTGGTTGGCATAGGGATGAACATTGCTTGGAAAAAAAAATAAGATCCAGTGTCATTTTAGTCTCTAACATATTGTAATTTCTTGGTATTTTTGAAAGGTTTATAACCAGAAGTTTGAAACTCATTTAGGATTCAGCCTACTGGAATATATATATATATATATATATATATATATATATATATATATATATATATATATATGTATATATGAAAGAGCAAATGCCATAAACGTAATAGCAATAGCATTAGCACTTAAACTTATATATCACTCCATAGAGTTTTACGCATCAACCTTGAGCTGGTCAGGGTCAAACTCCAGACTCTTTCTCTGTGGGCATAGTTAGCCTGCAATACTGCATTCTAATCACTGTGCCACTCTGGCTCCTTCATAAGTCACTCCATCAACTTACTCTTTGTTATTAGATATTGTTGATTTAAAAAAAAACCCCTCCCTTTAGCTCTAAAATATTAGATCTAATATATTTAACAAAATAATAATCTCTACAGCAAAAAGATGGGGAGAAAGGGGGGCACCACCATTGTTGGCTTTCCCAAAATAGTGTTCTTGTGGCAATAGCATGGCAATTCATTCTAACCACAGTATCAGTTGTGATGTAGAGGCACTTCATAACTGATATAAATCTTTCAAAAATTTGAATTTGGAGAAGAATTTCAAATCTAAAGGTCCATTCCAGTAGATCAAAAGTCTTTTGCAAATCTAGAGAAACCAATGTAATACTTTCTTGAAATTGGACAAAGATAATCACATTCAATGCCCTCCTGATCTGATCCATTTATTGTTGACCAGCATATAGATCATAAAACTCTTATAAAATAAACTATATGTATAAAAGCTAAAACCTACCAAAACTAACTAAAAAAGTGTCTCCCCACAAATAATGATGTAACACAAATATAGAAATAATTCCAATCTCAAATTTTTTGTATTATTCTACAGTATCAGTTTCTTAATTTTAGATATGTACAAAACTTCAACAAATCAATCTTTAAACAGTGAATTCACTTCACAGAATACCAGGAAAATTCTAACGGATTGAGATAAAAAAAAATCCAATCAATTTTCATGAAGCACTCATGAAGATTACACCCAAAACCAATTTAACATACAACCCCCCAAAATGTTAAATTCAATTATATTCAACTAAAGTAACAAGTGCCCTACTTTCTGTCCAAAATCATATATCCCACCACAGCTGATGTCCCAAGTGCACAGGGTGGAAGCATGCAACAGAGAATCAATCAGTTCCCACACGGTTCTCCCACATCCTGGGAGCGTTAATATTATTTTATATTGCTTTTTACTGCCAGGTGCCCTTTTTGTTTTGAACTGTATGTTTAGCACTTTCCATGTTTGTAATATTTTATATTGCAGTTTCTGTTTAAATTCTCTTTACCACCCAGAATCTGTGTGGCAAGAGGGGTAGCCATATAAATCAAAATAAATAAATAAATAGGAAGTGATAACAATAACAACAACAACAACAATAATAATAATAAAGTTGGAAGGGACCTTGGAGGTCATAGAAAGTCATAGAAAATGATAAAATTAAACTGCTCTGGGACTTCAGAATTCAAACAGACAAGCACCTGCAACATAACACCCCAGACTTAACAATTGTCGATAAGAAAGACAAAAAAGTCTGGATAGTGGACGTGGCAGTGCCTGGAGACAGCAGAATAGAAGAGAAAGAACTGGAGAAGATAACAAAATACAAAGACCTACAAATAGAAATAAAAAGACTGTGGCAAAAGCAAGCAAGGGTGGTACCAATAGTGATAGGCTCCTTGGATGCAATCCCAAAACAACTGGAGCATCACTTGAACACCACTGGCATTGACAAATTCGCTATTAGTCAATTGCAAAAGGTGGCCCTACTAGGAACTGCTTCCATCCTGCGACGATATCTGTAATACCATCAAACATCCACATCTGCCTATCCCAGGTCCTGGGTAAGGACTCGATAGGTAGACAAAACGCCAAATCCAGTCTGAACATCTGGCTGACTGTGCGATGATCCATAATAATAATAAAGTTGGAAGGGACCTTGGAGATCATCGAGTCCAACTCCCTGCTCAGGCAGGAAACCCTACACCATTTCAGACAAATGGCTGTCCAGTCTTTTCTTAAAAACTTTCAGTGTTGGAGCATTCACCGCTTCTGGAGGCAGGTTTTTCCACTGATTAATTGTTCTAACTGTCAGGAAGTTTCTCCTTAGTTCTAGATTGCTTCTCTCTTTGATTAGTTTCCATCCATTGCTTGTTGTCCTGCCTTCAGGTGCTTTGGAGAATAGCTTGACTCCCTCTTCTTTGTGGGGAGTCCTTGAGATATTGGAACACTGCTATCATGTCACCCCTAGTCCTTCTTTTCATTAAACTAGACATACCCAATTCCAGCAACCGTTCCTTATATGTTTTAGCCTCCAGTCCCCTAATCATCTTTGTTGCCCTTCTTTGCACTCTTTCTAGAGTCTCAACATATTTTTTTTTAAGAATTAAGTGAGTGTAAAAGAGAGAGAGAGAAAGAGAGAGGGAGGGAGGGAGGGACAGAGGGAGATGTAATCCTACTTGGAACAAAGGTGATCAGCTGATCAGTCCCAGGGAATCAATGAGCAGAAAGATCTCTTCAGCATTGTTCAATCTACTGACCGCAGGGGTCCTTGGTGTTCAATCTCAATCACTCTCACTCTGCTTGAGGTTTGGAATGTTGCTAATCTCAAGATGACTGCCTAAATCTTCCATTCCACATGTTTTCTCATCAGATATCACTAGAAAGGGGCTAGGCTTTGCCTACTCACCCATTCATGGTTTTCCCCCCTAAAATATAAGGACAAAGATGTATTATTTGCAATATTTCTGATTCTGATCCAATCATTTTGGAAGAAAAGATTGTTAAAAAAAACAAAATTATGACAAAATTATTACTTTTCAAAAGTAAGATGTATGTAACAATTTATTTTCCAATAAAAGAACATGGCAGGAAGAATAGAACTTACAGTACAGCAGTAGACATCATTAAGAGGATTTACAGTTCCTCTTCCATAAGGAAGGCATTTTTTTTCACCAGTAAATCAAACTATGAGTTTTCAGTCATTTTTCTGATCTTCCACAAATTTGGGTCCATCTGTTTGTGGCTTTTGAAAAGGATGTGACCAAGTGACAATTCATTTTTGTAAACTTCTGATGTTTAAAGATGCTCCAGCCCAGAGCTTCAGCAGAAAGTTCTCCCTAAATTTCTCTTTCATGTGCCAGCTGTGTATTACATAGTTTGCCTACACTTCAAAAATAGTTTCACCACAAAGAGCTATTTACTGCCCTCTCTCTAATGCAGTTTAGCAACTTTTGATGTGCTGTCTCCATGTTTGGCTCTGTTCTGATTTAAACCTCAGGTTAACTTTAGTCCCCAAATGCTCATTAAAATGAAAGATTATCAAAACTTTACTTTGGAAACACCTCCCTGAAGTGGCAGGGCTTCCAAGATTGGAGATGTTTCTTGGAAAGTCTGCCAAGGCACTCTTTAGACATATTTTATCATCACTGTTCAACTCACCTCTGAGGATTATTTGGTCTTAATCCCCATTGGGTGGGGCAGAAGGTGATAACAAAATACACAGATATGGAATAGGCTCCTTCGGCTTCAGAAATGCCACACAAAGTTGAATCAAAGTTGTATAGTCTCATAATCCACAACAGAATCAATTTATCTATTTCTTTTAATCATCACTAATCTGGGTAAGTAAAGAAAAAGCTACTGTTGATTTTTTTTTTCATAGCTGAAAACTATACAGGAAGCATTTTTTTTTAACTGCAGATATTTATTTTAGGTCCAAGACAGCCTGGGGTTGATAATTTGAAAATTTGCAATATAAGGGTTTTCTAAGAAGCCATTACTAAAACTGTATTAAACTAGCATTCCTTTCCCTCTCTGATATTTTCGAGATTAGACAATATGCTGAGTGAGATGGTGAATCTTGTAATTCAACACAAAAAAATAGCACTAGGTTTGGTTAGTGTGTCATCACTTGTACATTCAAGTTATGGTTATTATATGTAGGAAGAATGGTATCTGTTTTACACACACACACACATACACACACACACACACACACACTGGTAATGCTTATACATTGGAACTATTTTAGGTCTGCAACAGATAGGGGAGTATTTCACCCCTGCTGGTCCAACCTTGTTTGAAGCTGATGCACAAAGGGTTTTGATTCACAATTTGTTAGCAATTCAAAAAAGAAAGTGTTTTCTGATAATAATGTTGATAGCAGTATGAAAATGATGATAATGATAATAAATGTTTTAAATAAATAAGGTAAGCAAGTAAGTAAACAAACAATTAAGTATCAAGGAGAGAAGCAACCTAGAACTAAGGAGAAACTTCCTGACAGTCAGAACAATTAATCAGTGGAACAGCTTGCCTCCAGAAGCAGTAAATGCTCCAACACTGGAAGTTTTTAAGAAGAGACTGGACAGCCATTTGTCCGAAATGGTGTAGGGTTCCCTGCCCGAGCAGGGGGTTGGACTAGATGACCTCCAAGGTCCCTTCCAACTTTACTACTACTATTATTATTAAATGCTTGATGTAATTTTATGGTAAACAAATTTCTAGATGCCAAATCACTCACTATTTTTGCATGTTATTCCTAAAGATGGATCATGGGGCTCTAGTGAAAAGCAAAGCTGCTTCCCCCCAGTGCTGGTGTATTGGAAACTTTGACTAGGAATTCTGCAAATTGTGCTCCTTCACAATGCTATCTTTGATGTTGTTTAGAATTGCATTCTCCCGATGCCAAGATTAAGTGCTAAATTTCTGCTAGCTTTCAATTGCAAATTTGTCATACCTGATAAGGTATTCTCTCTTATTTATTATTATTTATATTATTTAAAATGTATTAACTATTACATTTTCATTAAAATATTACAATATTTGTTATATTATTCTAATTTATTTTTTAAATTAGTTTAGGCTGCTTCCTCATTAGAAAATTAAAGCACTTCATCACCCCAACATCACTGAAGTGATGTAGGGCCAGTCCTGATCACTTTTAGATTGGCACAACAATAGTTGGATGACTCTAAATTTAAAACAAGGATGTCAATGCCAGCCTGCAGGCCGGTTGCATCATGCTGAAATCGCACCCACCCCAGTTCCGGCAATGGGGGAAAAGTCGCAATACCTCATGACACATCACATGACGTGACGAGTTTGACACCCCTGCTCTAGAAAGTGGCAAATCCTGCTAATGAGGGAATGGCTACAGTTTCATCATGTCTTTCCACTTTCTGATCATACTTGCTTGGAAGAAACTTCACAGTTTACCTGTGATGCTTTCAGTTGCATATATTCACATGGCCCTTACAAGTTGTTTTTAAGGACCTTGTTAATTTTGGCTAATAATAATTTGGATATTTGTATAACCACTTTGCTACATGTACTTTTTATTTTGGCTCCACTTTGTCTCCTTTATGCTTTATGCCCTCAGTTTATGTCTTATTTTTATTACTGGTAGTAATTGAATTACATTCTTGCAAAATATAGCTCTGAGCTCAATGTGACAAAGGATCCAATTTATGAATTTAGTACACAGATAAATAGAATGACAAAAATTGAAACTCCTGAAATTTTGTAATAACATACTGCTGGGTAGAAATGATTCCAGTAATGTTTATTTATTTATTTATTTATGAGACTTATATACCGCTTTAAGTGCAAGCACTCTCTAAGCGGTGTATACCAGTAAGCAATGTATATATATATTTACATTGCCCCCAACAATCTGGGTCCTCATTTTACCTACCTCGGAAGAATGTTGCAGAAATGAAGAAAACTAGAATTGTTGCATAAATGTTACTTCTTTGTCTTTAATATAAGTGAACAAATGCAATAAATTCTAATAGAATCTCTTCAGTGATTAATATACTTGATAACGTAAGCCATTGTATTTTACAGGGGAAGCTATTTATTCCACTGCGGTAGAGGAAGAGATGTCAAATCAAACAACAGTAACAGAGTTTTTCCTCTTGGGTCTTACTAGTGGACCAAAGACACACTTTGTTCTCTTTGGGATGTTTGTGATTGTCTACAGCATCACATTAATGGGCAATGTGATCATCCTGATGCTCATTTGGTTGGATTCTCAACTCCACACCCCCATGTACTTCTTCTTAAGTAACCTCTCCTTTGTAGACATCTGGTACATAACTTGTATAATTCCTCAGTTATTAACCAACCTGTGGATCCCAAAGAAGACCATTTCATTTGCTGGTTGTGGTGTTCAGATCTACTTTTTCTTTGGTCTAGCCATTACTGAGTGTGTCCTCCTTGCAGTCATGGCCTATGATCGCTTTGTGGCCATATGTTACCCTCTGCGCTACACCCTCATTATGAACCAGAAAGTCTGCATCAAGTTGGTTTTAGCAGCCTGGCTCTTTGGCTTCCTCCTTGCAATGGTGCACGTAGTCAATACTCTCCAAATGCCTTATTGTGGTCCAAATGTCATTAACCACTTTTATTGTGATGTCCTGGTTCTGCTAAAACTTGTTTGTGCTGACACCCATTTCAATGAAATCATTGTGTTTGTGATTGCTGTCCTCATTCTTTTGTGTCCCTTCTCCTTTATACTGATCACATATGTCCACATTCTAATAACCATCTTGAAGATTCACTCCACACAAGGTCGGCATAAAGCTTTCTCTACATGTGCCTCCCATATGACTGTAGTGGCATTGTTTTACGGAAGTGCTATGTTCATGTACATGAGACCTGGCTCAAACCATTCGCCAGACCAGGATAAAATGGTCTCCTTGTTCTACAGCATTGTCACACCCATGTTCAACCCCGTGATTTACAGTCTCAGGAACAAGGAAGTGAAAGGGGCCTTGGTGAAAGTGTTGCAGAGGTGCAACATCTGTCATGGGACTTAAAAGTTTCTTGAAGGTCACAATGAAATGTTCACCTCAAATGTGGTCTAACTGTGTTAGACTCAAAGTGGCTGATGCTCTGTACTGATAACCTAGTGACGTATGTCCTCTTAACAACGTAATGGTAGTAGAGCAGTGGATATTTAAGATCTTGCTACAGTCAAGGCATTGGCAAAGAGATAAACTGTAAAGATTTTGCAAGGAACCTTTTCATTTTTGCATACTAGGTGGACAAGACTAGAGTTAACTGAAAGTTATTAGCTTCCTCATCCCTAACATTTGTCATATTAGCAATGTTGACTTTTCACAAGTTTTGTAATAGAAATTGCCTTTTTATTGAAATATTTAAGCTCTCTTTGCTGAAAAATAAAATTGCTCTGATTGTTATCAGAGGAATTGAGACTGGGCATGCTCTGTTTCCATTTCTGGTCTGTCATTTGTTAAATCCCAGTGTTTTTTTAAACTACTCATTGATAAGAATGATTATGACTTCATAGTGTATATATTAAAAACTTTAAAATTAATATCATGTTCATTTAATTAACCAAGTAACTTTGGACAAATTGCACTCAGGTGAGTCTAACTTACCTTCTGTTTTGTTGTGTTGATAAAATGAAATTATTTTTATGTAGTCCAGCCTAAGAGGAAGTGTGGTATAAAACTGCAATGAATGGCTAATTAAATAGTTTCCTGAGGGAAAATGTTTCTAGATTGTTGTGTGTTTATTTTTCCAAAACCATTCAAACTTTTATTTTGCCTTATTATTTAGAGAAGACACTTGCAATTCCTGTGTCATAGCAACCCATTGAACTTGTAGCAACTTCAATAATGATTTTAATAGACTACAATAAAAGCAAAGATTTTCACCATGGTTTAGATTCAGACTAAGGTACTATCAAGCCCAAACTAGACTCAGATTATTATTCCCATCAAGACTAAGAATCCACCCAGAACGCCAGTGATGTGAGCATGGTGGGCATGATTGGATTGTAAGGGAGAACCGTGACAAAAATATGCAAGAATCATTTCCTAGGCAAAGAGGGGTAAACATTCTTTCAGACCTGGGAAACAAGATAATATTTAGAAGCAGCTCAGGCAAACATTTTCCTGATTCACTGGGGTATACGAAGAAGGGAAGACACAATACACTCAGTCTTGCATAATTTTGTTATAGCCTATCTCAATAAAGTACAGTTCTAGTCTTTCTATTGCTTTGGGCCTAAGGCAGGACTAGAAACACCCCCCAGTCTCCCAGATTCTAGACTGATTTCTTAGCCATTAGGGCAAACTGGTTCTCCACTTTAACAAAAGCAATTCTCAATTTGATCAAGGCTGAGATGATAGTAGAACAGCGCAACAGTGTTTGATCGTTGGGTAAACGGTGAGCTTGCACACAAGCAGCTGAGTTCTTGATAAAGTATCCAACATATGAGTTCATATTTGGTCAATAAAACTCAGGATGGAAAATCTGTTTGGATTGCATCACATCTTGATGTTTTCATCAGCTTTAACAATTTTCACATATTAATCCTGGGATAACAGTTCATTCATTCTGCATATTCTTAATTATTGCAGTGGAACAGGGATTGCTTGTGGTCATGGAGGGGGGATTAACCCATATATTGAAGTGTGGTGATTAAAGCATCTTCTCAACAGTGAAGCAAAGTTCTTTTAATGACAATTCCTTAAAATTCAAACATATCTAGATCACTAACCTGACAAGCATATTCCTCTAACAGTGAGTTTGATTCGGAATCAGATAATAAAAGTCAAGAAAAAGAATCAGGTGCATTCAGATTCCAAAACCCTATTGTAAAACAAAAGTATACAGTTGCAATCTCCAACTGAGACCCTGAATGAAAGATGACAAATTTCATATTGTTGAACCATGTGTGTGAGCAGTTGTGAGCTATCAACACCACAAATGGATATTTATTTATATATTTATTTATTTATAAAATTTATATTGCCGCCTACTCGCACATGGCAACTCGAGGCTGCTTACACAGATATAAAAACACCATATAAAAGAAGTAAAAATAATAAGAAGAAAAATAATAAAATAATCACCCCACCACCCCATCCTGGTGACAACACACATTCATATTAGCCATTTAATGGGCTCCATCCCACTCTTGGTTGCCCAGGCCAGGTGGCAGAACCATGTCTTCAGCATCTTCCAATAGAGTGTTAGAGTGGGAGCCAGTCTAATCTCTGGGGGGGATGATGTTCCAGAGAGATGGGGGGCCATCACAGAGAAGGCCCTTCTTCTGGGTCCCACCAGATGTATCTTTATCAGTAACATTATTATGTTCCATAACATGGCATGTGTCTCAAAACTATGTGGGAAACAAGAAATACATGATTCAGGAATATATTATTTAATATTGGTAATTCGATGTCCTGATGAAGTTTTACATAGGGGCCTTGAACATGTCTGTGGTTTAGAGCAGTGGTTCTTAACCTGGGCAATATTGCCCCCCAGGGGGCGATTTCATTTTTCAGGGGGGCGATGGAACAAAAAGGGGCGACAGGGGGGCGATGGAACAAAAAGTGGGCGATATGGGGGTGATGGAGCAAGATGTTTTGGGGACACTTTTGAGACTTTTTCGTACAATGAATCGCTGTATATCTGTCATACAAAAACATCAGATCGCTCGCTATTAGTGAATTGAATTGTGTTTTCAAATGTTCCTTCAGCTAGCTTCAGTACAGAACGCCGTACATATGTGAATACGCATCGCTTATCTTCATGCGTGTTGTGCAGCAGCCTCTACCCATACAGTGGTGTGCCATTGGCCAGAATATGGGAGATATGGGGAAAAGACTGGAAATAAATTATTTGCATCGATATGTCCTGATGACAGTTTTAAAGAAAACAAAAAAGTGTTTGCATAAATTGAAGAATTATTTCCTATGATTGAGAGATTATGTTGGGGGAAGGGGGCGATGACAACTTCCTCATTGGCTCAAGGGGGCGATTCATTCAAAAAGGTTAAGAACCACTGGTTTAGAGCTTTCTGCTTTTCTTTCCCCCCAAAAGTTGATCTACTTGAGCTACGAATGGCTATCATCTTCAAGAAGCATTTTTTTCCATGATAGAAAATAGTTTTCAGTGTTCAAAACGGATCCCAGCTTGGTTTGTTTTCTCTGCTGACCTATGTGGCCAGTAGGAACAATGGAGCTGGCAGTGTTGGTGAAGCTTGGAGTTGGTTGTGGAAAATTAGATGGCAGCTTCTTCCTGGTAGTGAAATAATCAATCAATCAATAAATCAATAAATAAATTTTATGCCACCCATCTCCCATACAAAGTGACTCTGGGCGACTTATAGGTTATAAAACAAGTATAAATGGTTAAAAAATTAAAAGATTAAAACAACACAGAGTTAAGAACTGTACTAAAACCGAACTAAGAGAGTTAAGACTGGATGGAATAAGGATGAGGCCTTCTTATCCCATCAGTCACTCTCAGCAGTGAACGTCCCCCCCATCAGGGCCCCAAGTCAGCTGACAAAGCCAGGTATTGATACCCCTGTCGAAGGTCCAGAGGGAGGGGGCAGTTCTTACCTCTGGTGGTAGAATATGCCACAGGGATGGGGCCACAACAGAAAAGGCTCTTCTCCTTGATCCCGCCTGTTTCAATTCTCTAGCAGGCATTTTCTGCTGGTGCAATTGGGCCGGTCTTGTCCCCTTGGGGAGAGATGGCTTCTCAGATACCCTACATTTAGCATTTATCAAAGTAGATTGGATGAGTCTTCCAAAAATGCAAGTGGACTGGACAGAGCTGCTTGGCAAGTTGCACACCTATTTTAAAGTATTTATTGTTCTTTCTATTTCTTTACTTTTCAGGTTAAAAAAAGCTTTCACTTTTTGTTTCAAATTTTCTTATCTTTTAATTTTATTATCTCTTATCTTGATCACTCTTTATAAAATTCTTAATCTCAGTTTTTAATTCTGCCTTTATTTTCTCCATCTCATTTAGTACCCTCTCCTGTATCTATTGGAAATTTTCATTTAACCCTGTCATTTGTTAATTTATTCAACTTCATCAGGGATGGTGACATTGGTCATGATAATAACTAATGATGATGATGAAGGCATTAATGAAGTTACCTAGTTGGCTAATGAAACATATTCCGATTGAACATTATATATCCCTTCCTACCAGCTTAACTAGTTTGCTGAGTCACACTTTTTATTTTATGCAGATAGCTTGACTTCATTACTTTTCTCTTCTTAATTTATGCTGCTGGGCTTGAGACTTATATCCATGTCTCCTCAGGAGCATGGTCTTCTGCTAACTGCCATGTTGGAAAGTTCAGATTGGACAACCATTTGTCCAAGATTATATAAGGACTCCTGCCTTGGGCAGGAGATTGGTCTAAAAGACCTCTGATATCTCCTCCAGCCCTATGATTCTACACAATTCTATATAATTCTGACTTTTCTTGTTCCAAAAAGAGTTACTGGAGGCGCACTTGACTTAATAATGCCTATAATAAATATCGTGATGTACTGAAGGCTTTTTAAATAATAAATGTTGATGTATAAAGAATTACAATTATTCATTTATTGAATATATAATTTGCACCTTTAGTCACAATGAATTTGGGATGGTATGCAGTAAAATATAATTTGAATTCCTTGCAAACATAAGAAACAAATGAATATTTTAATTTTAAAAGGAGACAAAGCCATAGCCAAATATTAGTCTGAGGTTTTACTAGTGGCTTTTTTGTGATGTCTACATAGTGCAAATTTTCGCATTATCAACCTCAGGCTGACTTGGATCTATAGTAAACATCTAGAATAAATAGATCCCTCTGTAGTTTCCAGTTATTATCAGAAGAAAAAAGCACTAATTGAGGCTTTGTTTTTATTTACCCAAATTAATAATCATTAAAAGAAAGGGATAACTTGAATCTATGTGCTACTGAGATCACCTGTTGAAACAATATTAATTTCATTCAACTATTTTCAGCAATTCTGAACCCAAAGGAGCATATTAGTGAAGCACATATCTGTGTATTTTGTTATCACTTTCTGTCCGACCCAATGGAGATTTGTACCAAATAATCCTCAGAGGCGAGTTGAACAATGATGGTAAAATAGGTCTAAAGGGAGCCTTGGTTGACTTTCCAAGGGACATTTCTAATCTTGCCTCTTCAGGGAGATGTTTCCAAAGTTAAAGTTTTGATAATCTTAATGAGCATCTGGGGACTAAACTTAACCTGAGATTTACATCAGAACAGAAACTTCTTCAAAGTCCAAATTTGCTTCCATAGAATGTGATAGAGAATATCATAGCTTCCACAGTTCTGATCTTTGTAGAACATATATTTGCCGAGGCCTTTATGATTGCTCTACTAAGTGCTAATCTTTTCCATGTTTCTTCTGCTTGTTCTATTACTATGGAACAGTTAAAAAAGAGGGGGCTAAGTGAGAAGTCATTTGTTGAAGTGAATAGATTATGATTTCGCTATTCATAAATAAAATGGCATATATCAAGAAGGTTTGATACAATATCAGCATTTAATAACAATTTATGTAGAGCTCCAGTCACATTTCTATCCAGAATATTCTT